ATGCCTTTCAAGTCTTGAACGTGGCTCATTGAATTTGTTCCACAGTTGAATGGTTAGGCTTTCATCTGTAAATGCCACAACAGGTTTAGAAAGTGGTTTAAACATCTCCACAACTAATCTTAATTTAGCCTCACATACTAATGGAATTTAGGTTGCCGGTGACAGACTGAAAGTGTATTTTCAAACTAAGACCTCCAGAAAGAGTGAATCAAATAGTCCTTCAGTGAAAACAGCACTGACACAAGCATATTTTCTTTGTTTTTCCTTTTTTTTAACTTAACTCCAGTAACCAGAAAATGATGCTATGACCTTAAGCATATATAAATATATTTAGTAGTTGCTGTGCAACATATTTATTGGTGTTTAGTGGCCTGGAGGTTAATCAAAATGAGTCTGGTGATCTCAGCTCAGTGCTAAATGGACTCTGCTTCATACTGTAGAATGAATGTAGCAGTTTGTCACTTTTTGTTATCATTTTACTCAAAGCAACAACATCATACAGTCAGAATAAAAAGATGAAATTCCTATATGCCCTGAGTCCTGGAGGCTGTTTGTCACAGGATACCATAGGACAGTTGAGTCTTCCAGAGATCTAGGTTACCTCCTGTATCAGATTTTCCCATAAGGTCATTGTAGATACTTCTGCAGGCAATGACCTATCAACTACATTATGTAAAAATAAGGCTTTGTAGAGTTCCTTAAACAAGATACTCAGAAAATACTTGGATCCTATATGGATATATCCAATGTATTAAACAGACTAGGGTGGGAATTTTAATGTTGCTACTTGAAGTACCTGCAGCAGCAATAATAGCACACCTCAACAACAACAAAATTATTGGTGTCTTGATTTTTACACCTATCCCTGGGGTTCTTTGGGACACTGCTTCAGAACATTGCATTGGATAGACTACATCAGCTCTAGTTTCTTAGATATAGTTATGATTTTTATGTATGAACAAATGACAGGTAGATGGCATATGTTCTGTATCTCAAAAACTAGAACTGATAGGGAGAAATGGTGCCATTTTTTGAACCAGCAGATTGTGTTAGCCCAGAATCAGGACTAACATTTGAGGCACCAAAATGTGTATTGGCCAGAGTTCACTAGGAACAATGTGGTTAATGAGATCTAGTGTTAAGAAGACATGCCTGAGCCAAACTACCCCATGCTTTGTCCTTTCTGTTCCTGGGAAGTCCTTAAATATTTGAAACTGTTAACAAAACAGCTGCATTTTCTCTCTGAGTGTTTGTCCTCATCTCTAAGATCTATTTTATATTCATTCTTGTATACGCCACCTCCTATTTGATCCCGGTCACTTCCCTCCTTGCCTGTGATTGAATTTTGGTACCCAATGAACCATTAACCCATGTACATCATATGTTTGCCTTTTTGGTCTAATCTTGTTTAGCCTCACATACTAAGATTCTTAATTTTATCTTAACAAATCTATAATAATCAGACACATCTCAAAAACACTGGAACTTATTGTGCTGTTGCTTAGACCTTTTCATACCAGTTATCAAGACTTTTGATGCTGCTATGCCTCCATATAACAGAAGTAATAAAAATGAATTTATCTTCTCATTTAGGCATGGGCAAACATTGGCTGCTGGCTACTAGGAATTGTGGGAGTTGAAGTCCAAAACACCTTGAGGGCCAAAGTTTGCCCATGCCTGCTCTAGTTACTTTTGCAGTAGTGATGGGCTCCCTAATTAGGTACTAGAAAAAAAAAAGACTGGCCTTGTTCTACATTCCTAGGAATCTCTTATAACCACAGAAAGAACAGAGCTGGGAAGCCAGTCCTTGTAAAATATCAGTATATCTTAATGCTAGAGTAGGCAACAGCCAAGGGGAATATATTGGACCCACCCTAGGTTCTTCGATCCCCCACCCCTAATTCCTATCACTGTTCTTGAAAGAAAGAAAAAGTCTTCTAGTGATCCTCTCGCCCTCTAGGAGGAATGGGGCCAATTTCATCAGTGCCCTTCCAAACTATGATTAGAAACCGAAGGCCCCTTTTTAAAGCCAGAAAGCTGAAATTTTTAAAAGCCCTTTCCTGAGCCTACAACAATGCATTAAAATGCATGAAAAATGGCATTTTAATGTTTTTGTTTTTAAAATCCTCAAAACCCCTCAGGGTTTTGGGAGCCTCATAAACCCTCATAAATTACTTCATCATTATTGTATTACTACAAAATATATCAATGTCCCGCTTCACCAATAGTGCAATAATTATCAGCACCACAGAAGAAACAACAGCATACAATCAACAGATATAATAGAGTGAGTGTGGGGATTGGAAAATCTATGAAGCATTTTAAGAATGTGAAAGAATAAAAAGGTGTTTGCCTGGCTCCTAAGAAACAGCAGTGTTTCCAGGGAAGCCTGACTGGTAAGGACATCCCAAATACAGAGAGAACCTCTTCCCAATTGTGCCCTTCTTTGGGGCCAGAAGCAGAGAGGGGCCCAAATGTGTTCTCCCAGAGTGCAGACAAGGCAGGAAACCACATTCCTTCAGGGATATGAGTATAAAGCCATTCAGAGCTTTACAAGAAAATATTAGCATGTTTAAAATAAACAAGCAATAGCTATATTTTAACATTAACAATACAAAATGAAATACGTTATACCCACTATCTGTGTTCTTTACCATATAACTGAACCTACATGTATACCCGTCTTGTATTTTTTTAGTTAGTTTATGCACCACCTTTCTACTACCAAATAGCTAATAGTGCTCCAAATAAAATGAAATCAAAACATAATCACAAATGGACACAAATATAAATAATAAACTATGAAATTACAGTTCTCAAAGTCACAATCAGGGTAATTTCGTCCTGTATCCTATGCTAAATTTGGAGGACTAAATACTAAATATTTTTTTAAAATATTTGTAAAATGTATCCGAAATTGCAACTTAAAAAGTCAACTATGTTATGACACAAGTTACAAACAAATATTACCTATACATACAAACCGTATGAAATTCATAAGATTGTAATAAGTCGACTTGAATGCACACAAATGGCCAAATACAGATTCTCTTTAGAAGATCTTTCTGTTATCTTTGATTATCAAAAAAGTATCAAGAGTCCCCACACAAACCACAGTATAGTCAGAAAACCTTCTTACAAAGTGCTATTCAGATGCAATAGCGAGTTCAGTCATATTTATTCTTCACTTCTGATCCCAGTTTTCAGCAAACAGTTATTTACTATTTTATTCAAACACTCAAGACATGCAGTTACCATGGTTGAGAAATCAATATGGCAAACTAAGGTTTGATACTAAGTGTCCAAATTGGCCTGGGTTTTCATGAGGAAAGCAGTGGGTGTCCCTCATTGCACTATTCCTAATGTATGAAAATAAAGTATTTGTTAATGCAGAACAAGTACACTGTTGCAGGGGGAGGTTGCACTAGTTCGCTTTTTGTGACACAACTGTTTTAAAAGAGCTCTGAAAACATGGTCAAAAGGTATGCTATTTACATAATGAAAGGCCGGTTTCATTAAAAGTGTTCAAAGTTGTTGTCAAACAGACATACTCCTTATTTATTTATTTGCATTGTCATTTTCCTTTGGAGCGTTTTATGGCCATGCATTTTAAATATTTTCCTCCCATTTATCATAAGCCTTGTCAGGGAAATGACATTCTACGTCAGCTGTCTCCTTCATATCAAAAGAAAATTTTGTCTCTTTAACAGAAATAGTGAAACGTTTGTCTTCTCCAGAGCAAAGGACACAACTGACTTTGAATTCAAGCTCTTTTTAATATTGCACCTTATTTTCTTTGAAGAAATTCACTTTATTTAGAAAAAAAACCCTAGAATTTACTGCCTCTTTTCCCCTTGTTTAAACAGGAAAACAGTACAAATATAATAAGGAAAAAATCTTCTTATGTAATTATCAACATTCAGTTGCAAAAAAATCTTTACATTGAATGTTTGGTTCTATGCTTGTCTACTTAAAAGTAGGGATTACTGCATTTAATTCAATTTAACTCATACATAAGTATGTATAGGACTGTACGCTTAGCTAAAAGCTTATTAGATGCACAGCTAAAGCCATTTGAAAATGGCTGGAAATTCTTATAATCAGGCTAAATATATGTTTAGATGAACATTGGTACATTTGTGATTGATGTTGCATCCTATGGTCATTTCTATCCACAGACTGGTTATTCTGCTATAGCTTCCTTAGTGCCAGAGGCTGTTTTCATTCACCGCGACCACAACATGTATATGCACATACAATACATACACCTTTACATCAGCCGTATTATGCGGTACCACAAAAGCTTTGGGGGCAAGGACAAAGGCAAAGAGCAGTATCTGTCTGATTCTACTCAAAAACTCCATTAAAGCTACTTCAGACAAACCTATTATTGAGTCATCAAGTGTCCGTATGGTGGAGCTGTGTCTAGTGCGTAGAGTATTCAGTTACCCAGAATGCTTTAAAACAGACTTGATGAGCATACATGTTTAATTGCATAGCTAAAGCAGTATACCTCCACTCCATTAGTGTATTTGTATCTTTTCTTTTCTGTTCTCGGGGCGGCGGGGTGGGGGGGGAGAGTTGTCTCATTGCTTGCTCTTTTTTAGTATGCTAGGCAAATTACAATTAAAAGAACTTCTAGGTTATTCAGGTTTTTCTGCCACGCCAATGGCAAGCATCCCTTTCTCTCTTCTGTTTTTCCAAGTGTGTTGGACATTCAAAAACTTTTACATAATGTTAGACTGTCCATTTTAAATTTAAATATCTGCATGATATTTGACTGTAATAATGATCTGTGAGTTAAACAACTAATACAATAATCATTAATAAGCTTTCAACAAATAGCTGCCCTCCCCATGCAGGCAATGACTAACTGGCTGCCTCTTCCTTAGGCATTTACGATTGCCACAATATGAATTCTGTTACTAACCAAAATGTCCTGTGCAGTAAGAACCATAATAAGAGCTTGTGCACATGTGTGTGCTTTCTCTTCTACTTAGGCAAGGCAGTTTTCCTGTCATCAATCAGAGTGGCATTATGGGATCCAGCTCTCCCTACACCCAGCCAATGAACAACAACTCAAGCCTGATGAACCCTCAAGCATCACCTTACAGCATGGCACCTAACATGGTGAACAGTTCCACAGGTAATCCTTGGCAACTTTTCAGGAGCAACTGCTTTGGAAAGGTAGAAGTCCTTACATGGTGCAGAGGTTTCCTCCCCAACAGCAGTACACAGGTTCTGCTTGCCTTACTGCAGCACTGTAAGAATTCAGCTTGCAGTATATCTGCTAAAACTTTAGATCCTCTTTTTTCATTTTGTGAAAATGTGGATATGGCATATCTGAAGGTTGTTTCTTTTAGCTATCTTTGCTTTGAAAATGTGGCAAGGATTTTGAGGCTGCTGCACCTGCAGTTAAAGAAATTTTTGGATGAAAATAATTAATAGTGTTTCAGATTGGGGTCCATGACAAAAAGGTGCCAAGAGAACTCACTGTATTTGAAAATTCAGAATGAAGTACAACTTTCTGGAAACTTAATGATGTCACATTTGCGTTTTAAAGCAGAGGTGCCCACTTTACTATTGCCTGATTTACTATCATCCAATGTGCTCCTGAAGAATTCTGGGAAATTTAGTTTTAGGCAGGGCCTTTGGAATTCTCAGCCAGAGAGGTCCTTGGCTTCCTTTAACTACATTTCCCAGAATTCTGCAGAAGCTCATTGGGTAATAGCAAAGCAGGCAATTCCACTTTAAAATGCTAATGTGATATCATCCCTACTGTGCCCCCTTCCCTCAAAAAATTGCAAATCTGAGTTTTTCAAAAGACCTTTGTGCACTTACTTTTTTATGTGGAATTATCAGGCCAGTTCATGTGGAAATGGATAAATGTCCATTTTTATCTGATGCAAATATTCAAACTCCATAGCAACAGATTTAATCTAATGCACACATTCCACGATTTTCATTCATTAATATGTTTCAGAATATCAGAGTTACATAGTAACAAGATTTCTTTGAGTAATGTTGGAGAACTACTATATAGACATGTTTTCTTGTAAAAGAGAGCACCGGTACTTAAATCTTACCCAAAGGCCATTGGTTTTAGCATTCCTGGAAATAAATTCTAAATATTTCTCAAGTAGCTAAGTTGAATACAAACAGAATAACTACAGAAGACTAAATGTTCAGGAAATTAGGGGTCTATCTATAAATGTGTAGAAAGAAGGGAAAAAAATATACAGCATTCCAAAATGCAGTGCAAACCAGAAAGGTGTCCTAATAATTCTTTTTAGTTTTGCTAATTAAAATGCCAAATTGCAGAAGAATATTGTGGGTAGGATTTGGACTAATAATCCAGAAACTTCCATTCAGAATACATTAAACAGAAGGTGGGTGATGGGTCCCATTCATATGAGGGTTTGGGTTTTTTTACTATAAAACATGTATATGTTCAGCCTCTCCACTCCTTCTCATTTTCACCTGTTTTCAAATGTTGAAGAGGAAGACTTGTAAAGTATGCCTTTTTTCTTTCCTTCCTCTCAAGGAGTAGAGGGCGCAGACACTGGGATTGTTCTCTGCATCTGAACCTTTTGTTTGTTTGATTCTTTAAAGACAGTATATTATGGCTTCTCTTACTTTAGAAAACAAAGTCCACTATCAGGAGAATGAAGTTCTGCTACCTCTAAAAAGCAGGTTGCTCTCACTAACAGTGACAGGTCAATTTGCAACAACCCTTTTTCCCCTTTCTCCTTACCAGGGAAGATGAGCAGGGAAGGCATTTCTCCATGCTGCTGCCACTTCCTTTCCTTGGCTATTGGAGGAAGGGATTCTATTGCCTGCTCCTATGTCCCAAGACATACAAGACATACAGTTGAATTGCAACCATTCCCTCTTTAAAAGGATAATGTGGGAACCAGCTGGCACTGCTTTGATGCATACAATAAGATTATTTTAGTCTATTGGATAGTCTTATTATGATTTACATGACTTACTTGTTGCTTAAGCAATATGTGTAAAATTAAATGAATCACAGCTAAACATCCGGACTCTCCGGATGTCACAGGCCTACAGCTGCTGTTATCTCTCCCCATTGGCTATGTGAGGTAGGGCTGATGGAAGGCACAGCAAATGTAAGGGAAGGGGGCGGGGCTGTTAATCAGACATACGATTTTTTAAATGTAAAATAAAATTGCTTCCTTTAGTATTAAGTAGGAGGCTAATTTTTTACCCATGCAGCGGACTTTTGCTCCGGTAGGAAAGGAAAAGCTATTGAACAAGCCATTAGATAATAGCTTGCTCTACCCCTCTTGCAGTTCTCCCAGGTAATGCTGTATTTGGATTATGTAGTTATGTGTTTTGTCTGGCTAGGTGAAATAAAATTACTTTTGAGCATTGAAACTGTGCTATAAATTCTGGCTTGCTGTTTAGCGGCAGTAATTTTTTGTCCCTTTTCCTCTGGCCCCCAGAGCTGCAAAAATAACCAACAACAAACAGATGGCAGAGTGCCCTGTGTAAGAAGATTTATGTATTGCAAAGGAATAACCAGTTTAAAGGAAGATTCACAGAGGGGTTTTTTTGTTCAGATAATTCAGCAATTCGTTATTTCATACAGTGGAAATCTGTTCAGTGCGAAGCCATTTATCCTAGCAGTCTTTTGTATGAGGTAGTCATAGTATTTTTATTGTGTTATACATTCCAAAATATTGGATTTTTAAAATAATTTAACTGTGTACCAGAGCTTTTATTTTTCTTGTTTACTTGGTTTGTGCATTTAAAGGTTTACACCTATACATTTATTCATTCTGAGGTTTCCACATGAATTCCAAATATCAAGTATACTAGGAATAGAACTTCTAGTCATTTACTGGGCCATTGGCCCTACCAGTGATTGTGAAATTAGAATAATGGTTTTAAAGACTAAAGGAATAATAGAAATAAAAACAGCAAAACAATTTCTCAAAATTCCATACAACACAATGCATCAAGTAACAATAATTTGAAACTGCATGACCCACCATCTCAAGTGGTAAGGATTTCACTCATGGGCAGCTCATGGTTACAGACATTTAGCAATTTAAAATTGGACCCATCTTTTTGAAACACCCTGTACAGTATTGTGACTTAATCCCAACATAGTATACTGGCCAGAGTGTGTTGAGAACAGTATGTGAGAGCACAGCATCACAAATCATTTTTGTTTAATTCTCAAAGCAGACATATGAACATCATTATTAAGTCTACTGTCTTAATCGTAAAACATTTATCAACATGGTGATGGCATCTTCACAGATAATTTGCAGAAGCAAACTTGTGTTAAAGGGCTTGAGATTCCAGTTTATAGAGCAAGTTAAATTTTCTAGAAAGAGAACTTGTGTCTCTTATCTCCAGATTGGTGCTTGAGTTCTCTTTGCATAAGGGATACAACTATGGCTGTAGCAAAATGGGGGTATTGCCCTTCATAAGAATCCACACACCACACACACACACACACCCCCCATGTAAACAACTTAAACCACAGGAAGTCTTCTGTTTGCTGTGTTTGTGTTCCCTTGGGTACTTTGCCTGCCCCTTTTCTTTGGATGCTTAAACTGTATTTCAAATGCTTAGCTGAAGTTTTATGTTACTGCAATGCTAGAAATTTGAGATGAAATAAAATTGCAACAACAAACCTCTTTGGGTCAAATATGACCAAGTAAACATTATGATACACTCAAAGATACAATTTAATCAAGTTTTTACAATCAGAAAAAGTATTTTGTTTTAAAAATATTAAACAGATGCTAGCATTAAATTTGGCTTTGCAGTTCTGCTCCTGTTCACTTCAGCAGTTGCCTCCAATAAAAATAACATCAATTACAGTCCAAGTTCTCTGGAGGTCTAAAACATCCCCTCTACCTTTTACTGTTGCTCATATCTATTATTGAGAACACATAATAAATTATTGATAAAGTGGGACAGGGCTGGGCTAGATGGATTGATGGTCTAACTTGGAATAAGAAAGCTTCTTGTGGATCAAGAGGAAGATATGTATGGATAGTTTGTACAGTCTAAGTAAATTGTATCCAGAATATTTAAGACACAAGTCCTATCCTTAAAGAATATCAAACACCGTGGTTTTTTTTAACCCTGCATTATCAGTTATGGCTTTAAAAACTTATTATCATTCCTAAACTGGACAAGTTGTTCATTCTGTCTGGAGGTTGCTGACTACAAAAAACAGAGCATTATATTTCTTCAAATCTAATATTCAGTTTTCCCATAGAAATACAGGCAGTCCCCAAGTTACAAACAAAATAGGTTCTTTAGGTTTGTTCTTAAGTTGAATTTGTTTCTAAGTTGGAACAGATACATTTTAGAGTGCAACACCAGCCATATACATAGATATAGATATATATAAAAGTTTTAGATAACATAGGGAAGGGTGGTGTTTGTTTTGCTGTCTGTGCCTCTGTTCAGATTTCACCTCACTTTCTGTCCCTGTGATAACTGGATTTTCGAAAAATTTGGTTTGTTGTGGAAACAAGGATTGGTGATAAAACTCCAGATGAGACACTTTTTCCCCATCATACCTCTTGTCAGGAATGAATTTCCCTTTCTAGGGGTAGATTTTTCTCATTTCCCATTGTCTCACCCCCATTTGTAACTATGAGTCATTTGTAAATCAGATGTTTGTAACTCGTGGATTGCCTGTATCTCTAAAATGAGGTGCAACTTAGAACTTGTGGGTACTTTTTATATATACATATATAATATATAATAATATTTTCTTCTGTTGGTGATACTGAAATTAGTATGCAGCCTACAATAGATGATGTCTTAAAATTGAAGAAAGACAGGATTAAGAAATCAGATCCCCATCTTTAGGGAAGTCTGACATGGGTTTGCTAATAGTACAGGGAAAGGCAACGAGTGAACTTCACTACCTAATTTTACTATCTTCTGATACAAACAGCTAAGGCCCCTTCTACACTGCCATATAATCCAGATTACCAAAGCAAATAATCCACATTATCTACTTTGAACTAGATTATATGAGTTTACACTGCCATGCAATCCAGTTCAAAGCAGACAATCTGGATTTCATTAGGCAGTGTAGAAGAGGCCTAAATCTTCAGGAAAAAGGAGGAGGAAAACCCACCACAACTTGACTGCAGTTTAACTTGTCTTGTATCTGCCTTTGAGTATGCCGAGTTTAGTGTGCTATAGTAATTTAGGACCTTGACCCATATTTTCTTTCTTAAAATTATTCTCACTTTCAAGTACTTATAATAAAGCCTGAGGCTAGTTCTTGGAAGCTCTTCACTCTACATTGCAACAATTTTTCAGTCACCGATTTTGCTGTTATCTTCTGTTTTTATGTTTTACATCTTTCAGGCTGTACTTTGTGGAAAGGATCATTAGTGTGATTGTAGTAGCAGAAGCGTGTGTGAATGTGCACACCTTAATTTACTGGAATTGTGACAATCACTTCTTTCACCATTTGAAAGAGGGTCAAAATACTGCCCTCCATTTGTCATTGGACTAGAAAGTAAATGGATGTGAGCTTGAAATCACTCAGGAGTATTCTTGCAAGAAAGACCTTACAAAGCAACATTTCAGCAAAGAATAGAGAAATACATACAGAAGCTACAAGAAATGATAAGGGTGCTACAAAAGAGCCAAGCTTTCGTATTAACCATTTAGAAATGACACTACTGCTTCCTTTCTAAGATGACACACTGGTCTCAATCCACTGCAGTTGTAGGCCATTTAACAGAAATGTTCTTATGCGGGAGGTGATATGCATCCAGAAGCACATCAGAATCTGCAGTGGTAACACATACAGAAGGTTTCTTATGCACCATCTTGCTGACTGAGGCAAGTAAAAAAGAAGTGTTCACCAAAGGCTTTATACCACACTTGAGCCTTTGGATCACAATTGGTCATCCAGTATAATTTCAATTTTCCGGTCTTTTCCCCACCCCACGTTTGTGAAATTGAATGAGCCAAGGAAAAGCCACCTTATTATTTCACCAGTAGCATAAGCTTTATTGGGAAAGTTTGCAATGGCCCCATACAAAACTGAAGCAAGAGTTGAGACTGTCCCTTTTGCACTCTAGTTCAGGTAGGGACACTGTGTGGATCAGAAGTAGTGATGATATCTTCTAGCCCAATGGCTCTCAACCTGTGGGTTTCCCAGGTTTTTGGCCTACAACTCCCAGAAATCCCAGCCAGTTTACCAGCTGTTTAGTATTTCTGGGAGTTGAAGGCCAAAACATCTGGTTGAGAACCACTGCTCTAGCCAAAGAGCCTCAGAAAAGCTTTTTGAAGGATATCATGTACACCACCTTCTTGGTCTAAAGCTTGAGTACACAGATGGAATCAGCTGCTGAATTTAAGTCAGTACTTAGGTATGTAAATCCCACTGATTAAATGTGTTTACTCTAGTTTGAACTAGCAGTTGGACAGGACCCAGCAGTTTTGGGAAACCTTGGCCCTTCAGACAGCAATGCCCACAATACTAGGGGGAGTTGTAAATCAATTCCTTAGACATCTGGCTGACCAGCAGTTCCCCACCATGGTACACAGTGTGATATTATTTCTATTATGCCCATTCATTTAAAAATTGACTGTTTGGCTGATCCCTGGTGCCTTTTTGTCCATTGTCAAAGAAAAGACACCTTGCTCCCATTTTAATATATTTGGACATAAACTACTTTCTGCATTTTATGTCTTTATTTGGATTGCAGCAACATAAATGAAACTTATGAAAACCTCTGGCCATTCCAAGATGCGTATTGAGGGTATAGTTAGCCGTAAAGTCATATGGCACATGGCTGGGTAGGTTTTTTGGCAGAGCCATTCTCCCAACCTGCAGTGAAGTGATGCTAAAGATATTAGCAAATTAGCACCATGAAGCTTGCCAGCTTATTCGCCTGAGTCTTGCTCGTTCTCTCACTGCTGTAATTAAAACTAATTATTTTCTAAAACATAGTAATACATGAATATGTGCAATAATCATTTTGTAGTGGGCAATCTGTGAAGTGTTTTTAAAGCTCCCCCCTGCCCCCTTGGCTTGTTCTCCCACATGTTGGCTGCTGAGTAGAATGCTGCATTACCTTTTTTCTGAAAAGCAAACCAGTCCAGTCACAATCAGGTTGGAGTTTTATTATTTTCTAATATCCATAATATTTTGATCTCAATTTTTAATATGCCTTTTTATTTATTAAAACAAGTTTGCAGAGTTATGAAATGTGGTATTTTAGTTAGAGTGTTCATATGTTTAGCAACAAACACAGAACTTCTCTTGCTGACATACTCTTGTTGAATGTGTTGATGGATGTAGTTTTGTGTTATTGTTGTTAAGCGAAACCACATAAATAAAGGTTTTATTAATAATAACATTTAATGTTTGGACTTTTAACAAATACTGAATGTGTTCATATGTGATCAGCAAATGACCAACCTAGATATAGGAATTTATTTATTTATTTATTTATTTTATTCACTTGTATACCGCTAATATCTCAGCCTAGGTCGGCGACTCATTGCGGTTTACAACAATTAAAAACAGTCTCCAATTTAAAACATGCACACATACAATACAAATTATTGGGCCACCAATAATAATCCCATGCATCTCGAGCTAAAATCATAATCCAGAATTCGTTGTCCATAATTACCTGTCCTTAGTCACCAAAATTCGATTGCAACGGATTAGCCGAATGCTTGTTTAAACAACCATGTTTTCAATCTCTTCCGAAACACCATCAGCGAAGAGGCTGATCGTACCTCTATAGGGAGGGTGTTCCAAAGCCGAGGGGCCACCACAGAGAAGGCCCTGTCTCTCGTTCCCGCCAGCCGCACTTCTGAAGCTGGAGGGATAGAGAGCAGGGACTCTCCAGAAGATCTTAGGGTCCTGGTGGGCTGATAGGCTGAGATACGTTCGGATAGATAAGTTGGGCCAGAACCGTTTAGGGCTTTAAAGGCCAGCGCCAGCACTTTGAATTGAGCCCGGTAGCATATCGGCAGCCAGTGGAGCTGGTGCAGCAGAGGAAGAGATGGGAAGCCAGTGTAGCGATATAAAGAGTGAGCTCCTATAGTCAAAGCCTGGGTTTTTTAAACTTTTCCCACTTGCAACTCTTTTCCGTCTGAGAAATTGTGTATCTAAGTATATAAAGTAGGTATAAAAATCAAGCATTTACTGATAATAAATCACCATTTGTAAAGCTTGCTAAACAGTTTGATTTTCCTTTTTGTGGAGTACAGCTGGAGCATTTACTGCAGAATGCACTGTAAATACTCCAAGTTTGTTGCTAACAGATTTGTGTAAATGGGTAGTGGTTATCACATTATTTGTGATCCCAACATTGAACTAAGGGGATCCCATTTGAGATGAGGTCCCACAGTTCTAGAAGCAGTAGTATAAGCAATGGGAAACAAAAAGAGAAGGGTTTGGGGAGGGGAAGGCTCAAAAGAAGACAGAAAAAAAGATTTAATATTTATCTTCAGTCTGAATATTTATTTTGACTTTTAGTATGAGTTGGGGAATTCAGAAGAAGTTGATGTTATATGGTATTTCTCACACCTTCAAAACACTGGGAAGAAAATGAACACACTTCTGAATAAGTGTTATCTGAACAAAAATGATCAGTATTCAGTTGTTTTCCCTGCTGACTTCTTTAAGAAGAAAGAGAGCAAAATGCCCATGTCAGCCAAAGAGCACATTTGCAGAATAATTTATAAGTGAAGAATATAACTGCATCTGAGTATGTTGCAGGTTAGGGATTTGGTAACGAAGAGGCTCAGAGAAATATTATGTGATATTTTATAGTGTAATCATAAGGATTTCATTGTGCTTCAGATAACATGCCACGAGGGTCAATTCATACTTTAATTTATTACAAGAATAGGTGATGTGAGAATAATTCACACCACTGTTCCATTAATAAAGTTATATTTGAATTATTGGCCCACGGATTCAACCCAATGGGCAACCAATAGGTGCAAAAGGTCAGTTAAGAACACTACTCTGCGTGTAAGACAAACCTGTGAACCCTCTAAGGAGAGATAGGAAGGAATAAGCCTTGGAATTGCCATTTCCATCTATACAATAAACATTCAAATTTGCCCAAGTTAGAAATGGCTCTTTAAAAGGTTATTTTTGGACTATAACTAGACACACTGACCAAGGGGTTCTGGGAATTAATCATCCAAAAAAATCTGCAACATCTAATAAATAGTGATTGTTCACAACTAGGGAGATGAAGTGGAACCAGTACTAGCAGTGGGACCGTATTATCATGAAAATCAAATCAACACCAACAATTCTGCTATTCCAAGTGTCTAGAACATCTTCCTTGGCCCTGGGTACTCCAGTGTGCCATTTTATTGTGTGTGAAAATATATCAGCATCATAACTGTTAAATACTGATAGAGATAGGTCTTCAATAATATTACTGTTTCAGGATGTGTGGCTGAATTCTTTCTTTGAAATTGACTTAATGCATTTAGAAACATTGTAGTCGTGGTGATACTCATACGTTAGATCATGAATATAACAATTAAACATTGGTACTCAACATATCACAGCTATGCTTAATGAAGTTCATTTTTTTTCAACATTTGCATGGTAGACATACATAAGTTGGTCTTAAGAGACGTCATGTATAATTTGCAAACATTAATAAGTTCTTTGGGTTTGTAAATTGGCTATGTTGCATCATCAATTTTAAAAAAACCTCGTTATTACCTGCGTAACACATTTTTGAAACTCAGTTCCTGAAATTTAAAAAACGTGTAGCCCTACATTAAAGAAAGAGGGCATTTCTTGTCTCATCAGTTTGTAACAAAAGGAGGTCATCCTTAATGCTGAATGATGTCTCCTGTTTTTCATTAGCTCCTATGGGTCTTGCAGATATGATGACTCCTGGTGAATCTAAGCTCCCCATCCCTCTCAAACCAGATGGAAAAGAAGAAGGTCCTCAGCCTGAGAGCAAAAAGGTATTTCCCTCAGCTGCATGCAGTGTTGCTTAGGCATAACAAACTGCAATGATCTCTCTCATTCTTTGATTTGAGCTTGCCCTTTTCTGTTCTGTCCTGCACGCTCTTTTTCACTGATGTGCTACTTTTATTTTATTGATTTTTTTTGTCATTTTCTTTTCTTTTCTGCACTGTATGGATCTGAAAGTTACTAGTTCTTATGGCATTTAACATGCAAGGGCAAAGAAACCTCTGCAAATTTTTATGTGGGAATTCAGCTAAGCCATTGGGTGGATTCAAAGTAGATCTTACCTCAATCTCAATACTTGCAGCCATTTTTCCCTCAATCTTCAGTTCAAACTTCCTGTTTTGGCCGTTTCAGCAGCAGCATATTCAATGTTTTGCTTTCCTACCTTATTTGATAAAAATAAGATGCACAGCTTTATTCTCTCGCTCTCGCTCTCTCTCATTCTTATCTCATGGGGGGAAACCCATGCTTGACACTCCATTTAGTTTGAAAGAAGCATGGTGGCATAGTGACTTCAGCCAAGCATCCAGCAAACGTTCCAAATTATGTTATTACTGTTGTTTTTAATAGTTTTTATATTAAGTATTTATATATGTGTGTGTTTCTTCTGTGTGTATGTCTCTCTCTCCCTCTTTCTTTCTATCTCTGTTTGTATTTTGTAAAGCTAAAGAAAAACATTGGTTAGTCTGTTAAACTGGATGTGTTTTTTTTTCATTTATAATAAAGTTTGCCCTGCCTTTGTCCTTTTTTATTCCTCTATCACAGGATAGCTACAGCTCTCAGGGTATTTCTCAGCCCCCAACCCCAGGCAACCTGCCAGTCCCTTCCCCAATGTCCCCAAGTTCTACTAGCATCTCCTCATTTCATGGAGATGAGAGTGATAGCATTGGCAGCCCAGGCTGGCCAAAGACTCCATCAAGCCCTGTAAGTGGCTCTGGTTTTTGTTTTTCACTTTTCTTTGGTACTTATTATATTTTAATGCTTGCTTGATTGCTTTACGGATTCTTTCTTTTGTTATTTATCCACCAGATGATCTTTTTTGTCTTTGTAATGACAGATGAGGCTAAATTCTGCCCTTGGTTATATACCTGCAGCTCCTCAGTCCTTGAAGCAGCTTTCAATGGGAGCTTGACTTGCTTTGCCAAAGGCAAAATTTTGCCCAGCCCTATTGTTTTTTTAAAAAAAAACATTCATTTGTGTGTATCACAGAAGTTTGCTTTATTTGTAATATAGCAGATGTTGTGAAGAAAACATATTTCTCATAATGCATCAGCTTACAGAGCATGCTAACTGTGTTGATAAGGACATTCTGTCTCAGTTACTGGGTCCAAACTCTTTGCAAAATTGATTTTTTCCCCTCCTATTTGGATGTTAATTAGAGTTACAATCTAAAACAGAAATAAATGGCTCATTTCTTAGTCATTATGGGATCTACTAAGTGGATATTACAGTTCAATGCAATCATTAATTTATAAATATCTGAATATTTTTGCTCTTACAAATATATAAACCTAACCTCATCTTGGTGTGAGGAGATTTGCTTGTAGTCCTCTCTCCTCCATCCTAGCAGTTTGCTGAAGCACCAGAAACCCATCTCCTGGTATTTCTCAACTCTCTAGAGCAGGTTTTGTTGGGTGCATGGGGAAGAAGGGGATTCCCTCCCACCAACTCAGCCAATTCCAGTAGTAAAACCAGCCTATTGGAGTTACTTTAGAAATAATTACTTTTCAAATGGATGGCTCTAGAAAAGCACAAATATAGACAGCAATTTGGAAAAGTAATTGGGACTGTTAACTTGACCACTTTAATTACAAAAAAAAATTGTTCAGTTATATAAGAAATATTACAACATGAAGAATGAAAAATTCTTCCCATTTTTTGCAGCAGAATGTCTTTACTGACACCATGATTTGTATAAGTAAATTAAAATGGAAAGAAATTCTGAAAGGGCAACAAAGAAATCCAACTGAAGACATTTAAAACATGCTCAAAAAACATGAGTCCCATACTTCGGTCCCACCTCAGTTTTATCTAATGCTACAGTTTACTAATACCCGACTTGCAGTTTCTCAGGTCGCTCCTGACACGACAAAAAACCAAAAAAAATATCCTATTATGGGTTTCGCACTCATTTCTATTTTATTTGATGCTGTGGGCATGAAGCATGAACTATTGGAAACAAAATGCTGGTAGTGGTCTCAGACTGCTCTTTCTGGCATCAGAACCTACTCCAGAGGGTTTCCTGTTGTTCCAAAATTATTTTTAGGGATTTTAGGACAGATGGAGGACTGCAAGAAGAAGGGGTGATTGCTCCCTTCCTTTCGCAGAAACTGTGTCCATGAACGCAGGCATTGCAATGGGCATTCTTAGTGCTCCAAGTTATTTTACACCAGGGACATACCTGAAGGCTGTGCAGATCCCTTTCCGGTCCTTGAAATACAACAACCCTTCTGCTTTCCCCATGTGTTTTCTATCACTCTACATTCTTTGTGGAGCTGCTAATCCATTGGCACAGTCATTTATTCTGATTTCTAGTTTCTTTTACAAAGGTTAGAGAATCTATTGCACTGAAAATATTTAGTATTCCCAGTAAATTGCCAATCTCTTCTTGATGAACAGACTGAAATTGCAAAAGGAGCGTCAGTGTTTTTCAAATAAATACATTATGATATAGAGGATTTTCTGAGCTCTTTCTTCAAAGCTCTTTGTATCTGGGTTGAAAACATCAGCAAGAAAAGGAACTGGTAAAAGACTGATCTGCCAGAATCACCTTCAGGATTTAGCCAAGTTGACCAACAATGAATGCAATGACTCTGAGTTTCAGAAGGCATCTGGTGGTTTCCTCAAAGCATGTAACAAGACTTCTGTTGCATTTTCATTTTGTTTTTATTTTTAATGGGGCTAGGGATATATTAAGTGTATAGATTCTTTAAAAGATTTCTGGAAATATAGAAAATCTTTCAGGCAGAAAATAACACATTCATGTATTCTGTAAGCTATTATTCATCCCAAGGGAACATGTTATAAATGCATGTTTTGTTTCCACATAAATTAAAGAGAACCACTTTGGACATTTGTAGGGAGGAAGTGGGATGAATTACGTTTCTGTTTTTGATTGGGAGTAAAATACTTTACTTAAGATATAGTTCTTGGAAATCAATCTAAAACTTTCATAGAACACACATCTACAAAATTTCTAGGAAAATGGAAAACCAATAGATTATGTACCCAGGCCATGTTTTATTCCAGTGTTGGAATTCCAGTGGAAACTGGAAAGACAAGGCTGCTAATCCATATACTCTGAGTAGCATAATATATGTCTTTTGAGTAGTACAGTATACGTTAAATAAAATAATTGGCTGGAATCCAATTCTTAGTCCTAACTAAATCAGATCCATTGTATCAATTAATCCATCATAAATTAACATTTATATAAATTTCACTGATATGTTACTTGAAACATACAACTGAATGTAGGCTGTTGATAGGTTTTATTACTACAGTAATTGTCAGATCTTGAGTGTTTTAACATTTTTATCAGTTAGTTGATATAAAACTAGAGATATCAAGCATTATACAGACTGTCTAGCTACATTTAGGTACTGGAAAAAAATCAACATTGACTAAAACTCTAAAGCTCTGTATAAGTGTTAAGTTGTTCTGTAACTAAATCAATTATATCACTGATTTACACAATACATATAATACTTACAGTAACTTATTTTTAATGTGTATTACAGATGTATTTCTTGATTGAATAATTGATGTTTATATGTATTTTGCCCATTGTATTGATACTAATAATAATCTTACTGTACATAGTATATGTATTGTGTAAATCAGTGTTATAATTGATTTCGTTACAAAACAAATCAACAGAGACACATAGATATCTGTTGATTTATATAAAACTGTAAAGCTAACAGGGCTAGTGTTAAGTATTATTCTACCTCTGTATTAGGAATTCTAGTAATTTGAAGCAAATAACTTGTTCTGCCTGTGATGGGCAGGGGGAGAAAAATAGATTGCTATTTCCAAAGCCTTAAGGGCATGTAAGGTCAGAAGTTAAGGAGTGGAGCATTTTTATCTCCATTTCATCTGACAGTTTTTTTTCCCTTCTGCTCTGTTAGAAGAAATTATACTAGTTCCAGTTGAAAGTCCCAATCATGGAGTGCTTCAAGGAAAGAAAGGACTTTTTGGCCAAAAGTCCCAGCGTCCTTTTTGACTTGTCTCTTAAGCCCCTTCTTTTAGGACCTTCAGGTTACAATAAAAAAAAAGGTCTGATGATGTACACTGCTTTTTGAGGAGCTCTTTCTCTATTATACCTACACTTATGTTTGCAGAGATAAGTTGCACATCCATATGTAAAATAGTTCCTTATATTATGATTATCAAGTTCTTGTCCAGATATGAAGAGAGCAACCAATACTTAGCTAGTAAAGGTACAGGTCCTGCACAAATTGTGTTACATATGCAGATGCATGCTCAGTTTTGCAAGTTTAAAGTAACACTGAATAAATCAAATAAGCTGTGGCCATCTTTTTCCAGAAGTATCCTTCTAACAATCTCACAAGCTACTTTACTTCAAATTATGCACTACATTGCATCAAAACAATCAGTAATAGCATTTATTATTGTTATGTTAGGTTTCTGTCTGTGAGGCATTAAATTTTGCCATAATTGCGTTGGAAACTGCTTTGAGTCCCCCACTAGAGTGAGAAAAGCGGTATACAAGTGAAGTAAATAAATACATAAATTTATTTAGATCAGCACTAATTGTTAAATTAAATTTGGTTCATACTTCACTCATTTGACACTATAAAAATCCTAAAACTGTGTAATAGAACTTTTTCCTTTGAAGAAAATATATACGAAAGGATGGATCTGGCTATACAAATCTACTATAGTTCGTGCTTGACTGAGCAACAGCACATGTAAAACTTGGAATTTTAAATGTCTTTAGCTAATAGTAAAACAACAAAAACAAAAAAAACAAGCTCTTGATTGGAAGATTTCCCTTTTTTCCTTCTAAAAGTTAATACTTCATTTAAGAAGAAAATTGCACACACTTCGCTAAGCTTGACAACTTGAAAGCTCCTGCAGTGAGAGTCCTTCTTACCTTCTGTAAATTGCGATGTTTTCAGATTATGTTGTCACTTTGTGGCCTGCTGCCATCTCATTGAAAAGCAAGTTTTCTTGATGAAAACAGTGCAAGTGCCCAGTAAAGAAAAACTCCTTTCTCTTCTTTGATGATACAGTGCTGTATGAATGAGCATTTCACCTTGTAAAATAGAAAATCTTTGTTTGGTCATTAAGTCTAAATGTTGCTTGTAATTGCCTATTGGTATAGCAGCACAGTGACAAAATACTAAGGGCAGCATTAGACAGATAATATTTGCTGCCATTATACACCATTTGACATCACTAGTGAGAAGAAACAAAAATGAAATAGCAACACTGGTGTTGTCAGTAATTATTTCTTATTCAGGATGGTGAATCATTTATGTGCTGCTTTCTGAGTTGCTATTAAAACTGCAAAGCCAACCTTAGGTTCCAACTTGATATGTTCAAAATAACGTTCTAACTGTGTTTATGATGAGTCCACTCTTATTTCTTTATATTTTAAAAAGGCATTCCCTGAAACAGTTTCCTAAATAGCAGTTTTTAAGAATGCACCTAACAAGCCCTCCTAAAACGTCAACATTTTAGGCTTTAATTCAAAGTGGCAATGAAACCTTCCCTCTTCCTCTTCCCCCTGGTTTTCCAGCAGGCTTTTGAACTACCTGAAGGCCACCTTCACACCTGCCCATCTTCTCTATTTGTAAAACCCTTGCACTTAGTAAATAAAATTCAACCTAGATCATTAACTTTTCTTTAGCTAAATATGCTAAAAATCAATTTGATTTTGTCCTTTATTTCAAAATGTATCATCCAACATAGAGGCAATGTATTTTATAGTGAAAAAAATAGAAATTTGTTTATAAGGCTAAAAGTTTTCAGAGACTGAATAATGTAGTTAGTTAAAAATCATAGACCTAAACAAGATAAATAAATGAAAGTCCTATTCATTTCAATAGGATACATTTTAACTTAATTAAATCTCTTGAAAGTTGTGAGTTTTTTTATAAACATAAACATGACTTTTCCGTTTGTAAGACAGATAATAAAGATTTTGGGTTAGATAAAATGTGCATCCACGTCTTCAAAAGACCACACACACACACAGAGTTTGTTTTAGGGAATTTATTTTTAGTATTGGGAACAAAAAGATTAAGATGCTACTTCACAGTAGAAAAAGCAAGAATAATTCAGGAAAATCCAAAAGAAATATAGTACATATAGGAACTATGGGTTGCATCCAAACTTTCTTCTTGGTAGGGATTCCCCCTATTCATGCAAAGTGCCTGATCTAACAGAAGCTTCCCCTTGGAAGAAAGATGGAACTTGGAATTTGCCATTTAATTCTTCCTTCCTCCTATAATTCCAAGCACCACTTCCTGTTGTGTTTTAGAGCCTTCAATCCACCAAAAACAAACAGGGAAAGAGGGGGTGGGTCTCATAAATTTGATTCAGATTGGCAAATCCTGTCTTAAATCTTCTCATTTATTAAACCAGGATACACACAACCTCCACACACCTTCATTTCCACTTAGTTCCTGCCTTAACATTAGTAATTTAAAAAGCTATAAGCAGCAATTTATCATGGCCTTGTATTAAACGTAAGCCAAATAATGGTTTATCAGCCAGTCCTTAGTTTGCTTTGTGGGTGTGTGAAGGTATAAACAGAAACATTGCTTGCACATGTACCAACCTCATGCATATTCTAGTTTATTAAATTAACATATATTATTTGAACCAGTCTACGAATGACTCAGATCAGTTAATTTTTTAAAAATGAAACAAAGCTCAGAAGACTAAAATCGTCATAATGTACTCCTGGCAACTATTTCCACTAGGTAATCTTGCTATGTGCAGTTCCCTTCAGCAGTCCGTGAATTGCCCTCTCGTGTGCTTCGGTAGAAGAGAGTTAGAAAAGGCAAAAGTCAAAAGTCTAGGTTTGCAGATATGTTTAGACATGCTCAACCCTAAGTCGGTGCCTGCCCCCTTCCCCATGCATAGGGGATTTTCAAGCTGATCTCTTGCGTTTCTTTCAGTTGGCATTTCAAATGATGTCTTTGTTTCAGAGGTTCTTTACATGTAAAAGATAAAATAGTATAGCAGAATTATTAGTGGCCTTGGACATCATCGGAAATTTGCCTTCTGAGATCCAAAGTTCATCTGAATGGACTGAACATAAAATTTATAAAATGGGGAGTTTGGGCCCTGTGTTTTATAAATTAGAAACAACTTTTGCAGCATGTGGACAGAATGTATTTGTTTGTGCCTGAACTAGTAGCCTTCATTCCTGACTGTTGTGTGATAGCTTTAGTGGAACATTATTTCTTTATTTACCATTATGGGTATCTTACTATCTCTACCCTTCTTCTCCCTGTCCCCATCTCTTTTTTGAAACATCTTTATTTTAGAAATCAAGTTCCTCCACCACAACTGGAGACAAGATCACAAAAATGTATGAACTTGGAAATGAAGCCGAGCGCAAAATGTGGATAGATCGGTATCTCAGCTTCATGGAAGAGAGAGGCACACCTGTTGCTAGTCTCCCTGCTGTAGGCAAGAAGCCACTGGATCTTTTCAGGCTTTATGTCTGTGTTAAGGAGATTGGAGGTTTAGCCCAGGTGAGCAATTATTGTAATATTACAAATTCCTCCTTGCAAGCAAAGCAGGGCACATACTTCAAATATCACTACCTTTGCTCTGTTTGATACAAAGCTTCTCACAGTGAGTCATGGTAGAAACCCTTAAACTTAAACAAATACACTTTTGAACATAGTGCTTGTTCTTTTCTTAACTAGGCAGGATAAAGTAAAATGTAGAACCCACAGTAGAGCTTTAAGAATCCAGGGTGTAAGAACCATGAACAAGGTGAAAGCATATGAAAATGACGTGTTTGTTCCAGTGGTTCTTGTACTGGTTAATCAGCCCAAAGCACAGGAATGATTTATGACAATACAGCATCCATTTGAGTGTGTGTGTGTGTGTTTGTGTGTGCTTAGATAGATAAATGCTTCTGTTAATTATGACAGTAATCTTTCTCGAGAAATTCTTCTATAATCACAAGCATGAAAGTATGGATTTGGGTGAATTTCAGTTTTACCATGCTATATAAATCATAGGTAACCCAAGCTCTCTCACCTCAGACATTGAAGGCATAGTGTTGTGTGTCCCCCCACCCACACCCCACACATACATATCACATTGTCATGGCAGTATTTCCATACACATGGGGAGCATGGCAGTGGCAGCCACTCAAGTCAGTGGTGTCAAACTTGTGGTGTTTTGGACTTCATCTCTCAAAATTCCTGGCCATTGCACAAGCGGGCTAAGGCTTCTAGGAGTTGGGAGTCTGAAACGCCTGGAGGATTACAGAGTTGACACATCACCTCTAAGGCATTGTAAAGACCAAGGCAGCAACTTTTTAGAGTCTTACAAAGCAGCATCACTTCTCCAGAGCAGGAACAGCCTTCCCGTAATAGAGCAGAGAACACCAAATTTGGGGCTTCTGCTGCCCAACATGGATGCCTTATGGAGTTTATCAAAGAAAGTAAAATAAATATGTTATAGTTAAGTCACCCTTGCCTGGATGTGAAGGATAGTGCTGGTAAAATCATGGAGGGAAGAGAGTTATGTGCAGCAAATCTCATGCTGGTTTGGTTGCTACTAACCATAGCAGCATCTTGCACCTCATGGAGTTACACTGCTCTCAGCTGATTACATTGCTCTGAGCAACCCAGACCTGGAAAAATATTTCTTTGGGCTGATTAACTTTTCTGTTTGGTTACTGAAATGCACTTCTAAAATTCAGCTGTCATTCTTCACAGCATTTTGGATTTATTTATTTTTTTGTCTCTGATAGAGTCTGAGCAAATCTTGGGAGTGTCACTGTGCAAAAACAATTGCATAATCCTCAACAGCAGAAACCTTTTTCACATTTAGTTATTGAAATAATTGGCCTCAATTCACCATCCCCTCAGGATAACATTAAGATCCACGTGGGAATCTTAAACAGCACCGTTCCCACCCAATTTACTTTGAAGCAGTGAGAATGTCTCACACAGGCCTCCCATGCTGCAACATGAGCAGGCAGAATTGGAAGAGATCTGGCTCCAAACACCACAACTAGATGCAAAATAATAATATCAGCTGGGGGGGGGGGTTGCGAGGGTCCTTCTCTAGAGGGCTTCTGGCTACTATAATCATCGTAAGTCCAACATGAGGGGAGGGTTACAAGACCTGTTATGTTTACTCACCTTGAAGCACGGAATGCCTGTATAAAGCAGTTTTAGAGCTGTGAAGTAGGTCAGGAGGACTCTTGTAACTGCACAACAGAACATGAATACCTACCTCTGCAGTACCCAAAAATACACATCCATACTCATGTGTGACTGTTCCCACTTGCATTTTAGTCGTAAGGGAATATGTCAAGTATATTTATATAAGGACTGTACTTTTATATCTGCTAAGCGAATTACCAGTGCTTTATTGAGCTTTTTAGAGGAGGTGCATTGATATTGACAGCAACTAACACTAATAATAATGTCTTCCCTTTTTTACAATTCACAAGAAATAAGAAAACTGAATTATTTAGGGGGGGAAAGTTGATCAGTATATGGCATTTTAGCTCCTACAATGGGATGCAACACTTCTAACAGCTCCATGTAAACTAGCAATTCCCAGACTCTGGTTCTCCAGGTGCTTTGGACTTCAACCCTAGACTCCCAGATCATTGGGCAAAGCAGCAGGGGCTTCTGGGAGCTGAAGTCCAAAAGACCTGGAGGCCAAGAGTTTGGAAATTGCTGATGTAAACTGTTGAAACTGAAAATATTAAACTATTTTAGATTATAATCCTGATCTTGTCTCTTTCCTATCAAATTACATAGAAATTAATACAATTTGTTTTCACGAAATGTGGTTAAGAATAGGATTCCCAATCCATTTGACAGCCAACCTCTTTTCAAAATTAGTACTTCATTGAATAATTTCTACATCATGTACATCAAATTGAGAAATCAGTCCAAGTACATTTTGACATTCTGAAATACTTTGGTAAGAGTCCAATTTTAGCTCAAGGATTGACTTATCTCAGTAATACCACCCATATCCTGTGAAGAAAATCATTCTAGTTAGTTTTGTGTGACAAAATGACAAATACTTCTACATAAGGATTGCTTTACAAACACAGTGATTCCTGCACAGATATAGAGGAGCGCATGCATCTGGGAATGTCATCATGTGTGAAAACCTACGTAATACCCATTTTTCCATAAGCAAAAAATTGCAGCATATAACAGCTGATCTAAGAATTTGCAGAGTACAGACCTTTTCTTTCATGTGTGCAACAAAGAATGTCATCGCTGCAGCTCTTTAGTCATTATTTTGATAACAGATTATAACAATGATTATTGGGTAGTAGAAGTAGGATTCATTTCAATAAAGAACTAGTAATGAGAAGGTTTGCAGGTAAAACATTTTCTGATTTTCCCTAATATATTAAAAACGGTTTCCATTCACATAGGACCTGTTTTTTGCAAAGGTCGTTATCTCATTTAGAAAAATAAACAGGTCTAGCACTTGCATCAGGAATTAAATCACTAAATTATCCTTCCGTAAGTAGTTGCAGCACTTTAAAAAGTGGAATAACAGTCTTATTATTACAATTTGAAATGAGGTTTTAAAAATAATTTTATGACATCTAAATATGTGTTCCTTTGCCAGATCAAGCAAGTACACATTACAAAGAAGATAAATTGGTTAACTGCACATCACAAGCAAATACATACCCCAAAGTGTAAAGATTGGAGAAGTGGTGTCAGACATAAGATGCCTCTCTTTAAGCAAAGCATTTTCCTCAGCTATCAGTATGTTCTTTAATGGTTTTATAAGTGTTAATGCTGTTTGTACATTACTGAGTGTAGGAGTAATGAACATTAGTTAAGAGGCAAAAAAGCAAGCATGCACACACACACACACACCACAAAACACTGAGTGTTTGGGGGGGGGGAGGGTATTTGAGATTTTTTTAAGCAGTCTTCTCATTTTCCTGGCATTAATCAAGTGACTGTGTTACAGTCCACTGATCCTGCTACTTCTATTTACGTATGTATTTATTTTCTAGGTTAATAAAAATAAAAAGTGGCGTGAGCTAGCAACCAACCTTAACGTTGGAACTTCAAGCAGTGCAGCCAGCTCCCTGAAAAAACAATATATTCAGTACCTGTTTGCCTTTGAATGCAAAATTGAACGAGGAGAGGAGCCCCCTCCCGAAGTCTTTAGTACTGCAGATACCAAGAAACAACCCAAGATTCAGCCGCCATCTCCTGGTAAGTAGAAGAACTGCAAAAGCGCAGATAATTCTCTAAAATTGCAAAGGAACATGAAGTTTCTGATGTACACCACTTCTGATGAACCTCTGGCATACACAGAGATTCTTAATGAACTTGTCAAATTCTGGAATTAAATGCATAATAGTTTCCCTTTGCAATTTATACAGATTGTTGTCACAAAAGAGGCTACGTATGTTTTTAAAAAAATATGTAGAATGTGGGTGTGTACTTCACACATTCTTTGATTTGTTCGCCATTCCTGGTCCAAAAATAAGATGAAAATTATCTCCATTAAAAGCCACATGAGTTTTGTTACCAGTTTTGTTGGGAGGTAGGCTGCACACCAAATAGTTAAAGCAAGCATTTGTACAAGTATTGAAGATGTGTTAGAGAAAGCCATAAATGTAGCCATAAAAGATAGAAAAGCAATCTTTGACTTGCTTTCATTTACTGAAGACATAATATAGAATTCTGCTAGCTATATTATTATTACAGGAAAGCATGTTATGATATGACCCTGATGGGATTTATACTTAAAGAGTTGAATGTCTTGGTTTTGTTCTGATACAATTGGTCAGATTACTCTAAAAATCATAGAAGAAATCATTAGCAGATAACTCAGTTTAGAAAAACAAAATATGGTTGGAGGAGTACAATAGGTAGAAGTTTGATTCTATGCCTCCATCGATTGTAAGGCACACACTAATTTCAGTACCACCCACAGGAAAAAGATAGATGGATGGATGGATAGGTAGATATATAGAAGTACCCACAATTCTAAGACACACACCATTTAAAAAAAAACATCTTAGAACTGAACAGTAACTCCAAGAAGAGAGGCAGCAGGAGCAGAAAATGAGAGTGAGAAAAAAAGAGACAGAAGGTATGAGCGAGGTGAGGATAATAATGCGAACTATTTAAAAACCAAAGGAAGTGGTCTGGATATTGAAGATACGAGTTGAAGGAAAGATAGGAAGCAAAACTGTTCATTGTAGTTTAGTTGCTTTTTATTGTAATATCTACATTACTGAAAATGTAAGGAAGACAGAGCAAGAGGACAAAGTACAGATACTTGGATGACTTTTGTTCTAGCAATTCACTTCCCATCGTTGTATTTACATACATACATAGAAGACACACACACACCTCACAGAGACTCTCACCACCACTTACATATCTCTCTCCTATAAGCGGCATGAACTAGACAGATTGCAAGTGGGAAATCTAGCTTTAAATAGCTGGTGAAACAGAGAAATGTTAGAGTTTTGGCTTGTAGGTGAACTTCATAATGAAATTATATTTTGTGATATGAAAATGTGATTGTGCCAAATAGAAACCTTTTTCAAAGCAAACACAATGGATCTCAGGGAGAATATTAAGAGAGAATAAAAGAAGAATATTTCTTTTGTTTGTCTTGGGTTCTGCAGAATATATAAGATCTCCTGGTTGTCAGCAGTTGTTCTTTTCAAATTGTTTCGGGATCCACTGATGCTGTAAAATGCACAAAACGAGTTCTATTACAAGTTATTTAGGTTAAATAAGTCTATAGTTTTGTTTGAAAGCAGAAGATACTCCTAAGGACAGAAAAAGAAGACTGTCAGGGTTTTTCTTTTCAGTACTTTGAGCCATGATTTAATAATGCAAAGTCAATTACCAAATAGAGTTCTCATCACCATATGCTGAAAGGGGGAAAGGGGTTTATATGTTGAATTAAATTATGCTCTTCATTTTCCTCCTAGCAAAGTATTTGGCATATAATTGAATTTCACTTTATGTGCTAGTAAAGGATAATGTTGGAGAAGGTTTACTTTAGATACTGCATTACAATGTATTTTGCATGTTTCTTCGATGTATTGAAAATGGTTATGGGGTCAAACAGGCATTTGGCAGTGATGTCCTTATTGTATGTACATCCCTAAATTTTATTTTTGGTATCTCTGTTGTTTAAGGCAATCGTGCCTCAAGGTTAAAAAAAACCATGTTAAAAAGAAATGAATGGATTCCAGACAACTTAATCTAGGCCATATTTGGTCTTCTGGTTTCAGGCCACACTTAGTGCTGCTTTACACAAAGGAGCCAAGGATTCTGTATGGATGGGGGATCCAAGTAGGACACTCACATAGGTGGTTCTTTTTCCTGAAAAAAAAGGAGAACATGAATGGCACCCACAATGTATCTATCTTGTGTGTATACACTGTGTGTGTGTGTGTGTGTGTGTGTGTGTACAGGTGTATATCGTTATTTTCAACAAATTATTTTGTATTAGAGGCAGAAATAAACTGGAAAGAACAGGGATAGGGACCTACATCTCAAAAGAGTAGCTCGGCATATTTTGTTGCACTTGTTCTTCAGAATAAACAATATGCTTGTATGAAATGAAACAACCAGGTCAGGTAAGCCTTGCATAAGTAAACCAAAACATTATGAACCTTTGAAGGCTTGTTCCAAAAATGCTTCCAGAGATTATTTTTTCTTTCACTTGCCTCCTCTTTTCTTACCATTTCCATGTTGGTGGTTAGATTAGAGTGCCTCCCCACTCTCAGGAGAGTGTGTGAGATGGGTCTATCTGTTTTGCCCTATTCTCTGTTCTTTTTGTTATTCACCCAGGCTCAGGAAGGGATTCTAAGGGAAGCCGTTCTTTGCACTTCTTGTTGTAAGCAAGCACAAAACTACTGAATCTCATCCTTTCCCTGCTCAAGCTTTATTGCAGTGTTTACTGTAGACATGCTGCTGCAACCTAATACCAAATACCTGAATTGCACCAGCCTTCCTGCACCATTCTCTTAATGCCAGACCTCCGGCTAGATAGGTCAGAGAGAAAAAGTGGAGGACTGGGATAGCATAAATAGACTTTGTGGGGGGGGGGGGGAGAGAGACTTTCTTAAATTAGATAAGTCTATAATTTGTGAGTGCTTGGTCCCCTATTGTATTTGCAAGAACCCTCTACTCAGCAGTGTTTTTGAACATGGTCTTACTTATTGCCTTTCAGCCATTCCAAAAGATAATTTTGAGAGTAATACTTCGAGGGCAAGATCAGGGCCTCAGCTACAGAAAAAGGGAGAGATGACATGTCCTCAGCAAAAAAAAATCTGTGCTCCCCAATAAAACTTCATTCATACCCTAAATTTCTGGCATTAAAATGAACCTAGCAAATGGAAGAGTTGTAGGTGTGAATGGTTTTCTGTTTCTCACTCAATAGTTCATTTCACTTCATTTGCATTTATTAGATTTATATGGTGCTTCCCACCACTCAAAAGGCCTCAGTGCAAAATACACTCTAAAGGGGGGGAAAAACAAAAAATACATACTATATCAAAATATTCCAATTACAAATACACAAATAGGATTATTTAAGCAGGCTCAAATCTACAACACTAAAAGTGTTAATCATCGAAAAAACATCAAACTCCAATAGTTTCCTTCCCTATTCCTCAAAGTGGTCCTTGGTGTAATAATGCCCTGAGCAGGCCAAATATACAGTCTGCCCTCTCTATCTCTGGACTTAACCTTTCATAATTTGAAAGTATTCCCCAGAAATGTCCATTTTATATATTGGGACTTGAATATTCACAGATTCTGGAATCCATGGGAGGAGAGGTCCTAGAACCAGACCTCTGTAGATACCAAGGACCTACTTTATGAGCCAAATGGTTTTTCAAAGCTGTCTTTTTGCAGTAATTCTAAGTGATCGCTAGAGTTTACTGTTGTGTAAATATGATTACAATTTGGTTGTGATGGCCTATCTGAATGTATGTGTGTATTTCTCTGTTGAGATGTATAGAATACTAGCATACATTCCTAGCATTGCTTGGGTGTCATTGAGAACACTGTCCACCTGCTTTCTCCCTTCTCTAGCTCTGAGACGACCTACCTCACAATGTCTCTATGGCAATAGTATGAGTAGGCTCTTTCCTTTCTTCATCCCTTCCCCATGTCACCTTTCTTTCCCAGTGATGTCACAGAGGAGCCACTTCACCTAGCAACAACTAATCCAGTTATATCACAAAGGGTCACTTCACCTAGGAACAGCTTTTGTGGTACAGACAGATATTATTCACTCTTTTTCAGAAACAGCCTTGGGAAGGGGTTTTTTTTGGGGGGGGGAGGGTATGTCAACAATTGCTGAAAGTAAACAGTCCTTACAAACATCATGTGTCTGGTTGATAGGTGGATTCATTCATGGTTTTCTGCTTCCACAGAAAAAGAGAAGTGCCAAATATTTCCAAGGCATCTGTGTGTATGCCATTGGTAGCAAGCTCATTATAGCAGACCTGCAAAACTTTCAAGCCTGAGATATAATGGAGAGCACCCAGGAGCTTGCTCCCTGGGTTGCCTTGGCAGCTGAGAAACAACACAAGGGGGGTGGGGGGAGCCGGCGGGTTGTAAGCCAGTCATTTAATTAGTAAGTCTGTAACCAAAAACCCATCTATCTTTGCTGGCAGGTGGCTGACTGAATTTCTATTATTAGCTGACAGGTGATGTCACAAAATCTGTCATGCAGCCAACCGGGGAATCCCCAGCGGAAGATAAATGAGAGCGGGAGTTCGGGTTATAAACAAAGGTGCCCTTTGCTTGACCTCCATTCACTCTGGACATGTGATGCCTCCTGTGAAACCTCCCACTGCTCCCTCCCCCACTGTCAGAATTAGGGCATCGAGTTCATGCTGTGTAAATTATCTTCCCAGCGTGGTGTCGGGCTGTTAAGACTGAAGTATGTGAATGTACTTAACCTTCAGTAACCTTTCCATTGTTTACTTTAGAGTATACATTTGTAGCTTCTGGCAAAAGATAGGGATATCCTAGAGAGCATGTTAGGCCTCTTATTAATGGAGTTTCAAGGGGTTACCTCTATTTATTTACTTATTTACTTACTTACTTATTTAGCCTGATGTAGGGAATTGCTGGCAAGCGGAAGAGCTTTCATTCCTTTTCTTCCCCCCCCCCCTCTTTTATTCTTAACTGGCTATTTAAGAGATTGTAAATAAAAGGACTCTTGAAAGTATCTTCAAGTGGAGAAAGAACTTATCTTAGAATGCACCAAGCATTGCTGCTGCACATCCCTGATTCATTTTGGTAAACCCCTATGTGAGCCATACTGGAATAAAAGAGACTGTGTGAGGGCTTTCTGGATTGTATGCATGTCATAAAGAGCAGTTGCTATGTCTGACATATTGCAAAAATCAGAATTGGTCATGGTTGTTCCTCCCACTTTGTTAAAAGTTGCCAAGTGTATTCATGTCTGGCCACTATCCTTTCCTTACATGGATGGATGGGAAAGGAAGGTAAATAAGTAGGTAGGTAGATACCATTGTCCTATCAGTGCCTTTAAGACTCAACTTTATCATATATATTTTTCCTTTAAAAGCAGTGGCATATTATGTCCTTTTCCCACCTATGGGAAGTCAGCTATAAATATGCAAAACACTCAAAATCTCCAGGTAGTTAGAGAAGCCCAGCAGTAACATGTACAGTAAAGCAGTCTTTTATGTTTATTAAAGTTCACACTGCTTCTGCTTATAGTAAGGGGAGTGGTATGCAAATAACAGTTCCAAGGGAGAAATCATATATTCTGAATGGGAATGTAGGAAGATAGTGCTTTTATCTTAAATGTCATCCTGAGCACCCAGCCTCGCATTTTAGTAGCAGATAAAACGATTCCAAAACCTACAAATGGACTGTAGGGCCAATCTAAATACCATAAAATATTGAACAAGTTTCCAGTTTCTTCAAAACTCTTCATCAGGCAGAATGGCGAGTCAAGCAAATTCAGAAAACAAGTGAAGCCAGAAGTGTCTTGAAGCTGATGCTATAAATCTGCATTAGATATAAATTAAGATGACTGTAGGCAGAACCAGTATTCAATGCATGCCACCTCATAAGCCATAAGGAAAGTTTAATTTAGTTTCAATATTACCATTCATAGCCTGCATTTCTGAAAAGGACCATGTTTTCCACTTTTGTTTAATAATAATATCCATCCTACAAGTTCTGCCAGTTTGTTCTTTTTTAACTTTGGAATCAATAATAAAACTATTATCTTGTCAGTATCTTGTGTTTTTTGTTATGATCTAACGGACCAAAGCCTAAATACCCCAAAGGCACCAGATCCTGCCTGATCTTGGAAGTTAAGCAGGGTCATCCCTGCATAGTACATGAATGGGAGGCCACCACCCCCACCCACTGACAAATATCAGCTGTGTATTTCAGAGGAAAGAAATGGAAAAGCACTTAGAAATATTCCTTGCATAAGAAAACCTTATGAAATTCATGGGGTCACCATAAGTCAACAGGTAACAGGTACATTCAAATAGGCCAATGTGGCTTCAGACATTATGTCAGAGAAGTTCAAAGGTTTATTTGTCTGGCCTTCCTCATTACAAAATTATGACTCACTGTACCCTACCACCCCAGCCTTTTTTCTTTCACATTCAATTCACTAAATAGATGGCAGCTTATTCAGTCTTGCCTCATTATAGAATGGTTTCTGCTTTTGACGAATGCCAGTTTGTTGAAGTTGCTTTCACCTTCTGTCACAGCCCCTGGCAATTTGTGTAGGTTAACTCGCTTTAAATGCGATTTTCCTGCTTCTTGGCAGGGGGTTAGACTGGATGGCCCATGAGGTCTCTTCCAACTCTATAATTCTATGATTAAGTATACCTCATTGAAAATTATTTTCAGTTACATCTAGTAAATCTCATTCATTAATATACCTTTTCCAAAAGTAGATTCAAATGGTTTTTGCCATGTACAACATTCTCATGGACAAAATAGATACCTGTGAAGTAAAGGTTCAGCAGCTAGTTTCTAAGATCTATTGGCATATATTTTAGGACCAAGTGGAATGTAAAACCAGTATTACTGACTGCTTTGAATCTGTGCTCTAATGTGCAAGTCCCATTAAACAAAATTACACCAAAATTATGTTCTTTCCATTTGGTGATCCTCCCACCTAATTGTACACAAGGAACTCTGAAACTTGTAATTCATGACATGATAGACTATGTCAACTAGAGAAAAGCAATTCTAGCTACCTGTTGAGCTCACAGAGTCCTAGTTTACCTGCACAAGCACTCTAGAAGGGCTGGGACAATTCAGAACGTTATGTAAGATTGCTCTAACACTGCTTCTAATTAGCTTGGGGAAATCTCAAGATCTAGAGAATCAATACAGAGAAATACATTTCTAAAAATACTTTCAAGTAAGACATATGGTTTAAGTTTGTTTTTTCCCCTTCATAGACTGGGCAGGACAACTGCCCCAGCCATGTGTTTGGCTTGAATAAAAGTGTAAGTTTACAGTTAAGGTTGCTGAAACAAAGAAGCACACTGTAGCTCATTCCCAGCAATAAAGATAAGAAATTGAGTTTTCAAAAAAATAGTTGGGCTCAAATTACACTTATATTAAGGACTATCAGGTACAATTAACTCATTCAGTAGTTGCCTGAAATCTGTGTATCTGTGAATGTATAGGCCTGTATAATAAATGTACCGGTAGATCAGAATAATATTGCCTTACCTAAAGGCATGGTTTTAGGTACTAATTTGTTTCTTTTTTATTCTTGGTGGATGGTAGTGGATTCTAAACCACTGGATTAGAATAATCACATAGAAGGGTATCTGGAACTCTATGTCGTCTGCTAAAACCTGGGCATCATCCAAAGTAAATATGTTTTTCTAGGGAGCAATTGTGAGTGGAGTTTTATCTCTACAAACAGGGCAGATCATTGATCAGTATAAAATATTTTACTGAAATGCAGTAATGCTTTGAAATATACTAAGGCCACTAAGATTACCCATTCTAGTTCACTGTCGGGTCTCTTGTTTCTTTCCACAGTAATTCTACTTTTTTGCAACTGTTTGCAAAATAACTACCGGCAGGTAGAAATGTAGCCAACAAATTCACAGTTGGGTATCTTGTTCTTCTGTCTCTGATTATGGCAGAAATATTTATGCAAACATGGTCTGTAAAAATAATGCATTTTGTTTCTTCTTTTCAATTTATTTATAATTAAGGTAGTTTTAAATGAAACTGATATGTAATATAATGAGTCAGCAGGAAAAAAAACTAGAAACATATAAGATCAGCATTTGATATTTTATATCTACAGTAGAGTCTCCCTTATCCAACAAAAACAGGCCAGCAGAATGTTGGCTATGCGAAAATATTGGATAATGAGTGATTAAGGAAAAGCCTATTAAACATCAGGTTACATTATGTTTTTACAAATTAAGCACCAAAACATCATGTTTTACAACAAATTAAAAGAAAAAGCAGTTCAATACATGGTAATGTTATGTAATAATTACTGTATTTACAAATGTAGCACCAAAACGTAACAATGCATTGAAAAAGCTGTAGATCTGGGCAGGAGGCAAACTGTGTTGGATAATACAGAACGTTGGATGGGCAAAGGCTGGATAAGCAAGAAATTACCATTGTCATCACAAATTACCATTGTCAGTGTTTTCAGAAATGTGTTAAATAGAAGGGCAAATCAGTTTCTTTGCATATCCAAATTGCATATCCAAATAGTGTTTATTTTAAGACTGATTCAGACATTAAGTTGGCTTTTGATCTACCCTTTTTTCATGTACTATAAAATCTGTGTATTCCAACTCCCGTATTGTAGAGTATTATAACAGTGATATTGGATCCTCTGTATGGTGAGATGTAAGAATCACTATTAATATAGCATAAGCTATTTGGTATTGTTTATCTGGGATGTAAATACTTACTAAAATAGGAATTCTTCATTTCTTCTGTTGAATCAGTTGCAAGGACAGATTGAATAAGATTTTTAAGAATCTTCTAATACTAGGTTAGTGGTTTTTCAGTGCTTTGTTTTATCTGGGAATTGCAGGGGACCAGTGTTTTTACAGTTTGAACTTATATTAGATGCAGAGATTGCATTAGAGGTTTGCAACCCTTATAATTTTGAAGATCTCAACCACTGTTTTGAATCCTGAGTGTATAGCAAGATTTTTTTAGATTTAGAAAACATAGTTCTTCAGGAACATAAAGTATACATCAAACACAAATATCATTTCAAAAATACAAATGAATGATATGTGAGCAGATTTGTTATTGAATAGGTGCTCCCCATCTTCCTTCTTTGTTTCATGTCTATTTCTTTCTTCATTGCCTGTCTTATATGTTTTTCTCCAATCTTTTCTTTACCCTACCAGCTAACTCGGGTTCTCTTCAAGGTCCACAGACCCCTCAATCTACTGGTAGCAATTCCATGACAGAAGTGCCAGGTGACCTCAAGCCTCCAACACCAGCATCTACACCCCATGGACAAATGACACCTATACAGGGCAGCAGGTACATCTTTTCTTTCTTGTTCCTGATCACCTTTCTCAGCTTTGGATCTGTATTAGCATAAATACAAGCCCTAATTCAAATACAGATGCATTCCCCCACAGAGTGTTACATTTTCTGGTGACTCAACATGCTGTATATTGCTTTTGGAGAAGTATTATTCATGTAACAGGAAAATTTCTGAAATGTTACTTATGGAATCATTCAGTCATTTATTTTATTTTGAATTAAAATGTATATCTAAGGATTTCAGAACAGTATAAAATAAATTTAGTTTTGAGATACTAAATACCGGATTACTCAAATGTAATGCTCCCTTGAATTTAATGTGCACCTCAATTTTCAACACCCTGAAACTTTGTCTCTATCAAAGAGTTGGCACAAAAGTCCTCCTCCTCTTCCATTACATCCTGTAACTTTATCAAATCAGTCTTGCTGAATCAGAGGTACTTATATAGAAGTGATAAAGCTTAATTTACTCTCCAGAAGTAATCAACTGAACATTGCCTGAACTGACAAAAATATTCTGAATATGAAAAAGGACCATTGTTGTTGAACTTACATGCCCAGGGAATAAAACTGAGGGGTATTAAAATCAATATTAGAATAATGATTTAGCAGCTTAAGACAGATAGATAGTACTTAATATGATTTAAATATTCACACATTATATTGTCATGACACATAATAAACCCATGCTATTAAATTATTAAGAGCTTATGAAGTCAAGAATTGGCCTAAGATCCCTATAAGTGAAACAGTGAGCCAGTCAAAGTAATAGATAAAGTGGTGGGTCTGATGTGGAAAATGCGAACGCAAATCCTTACTCAGCTGTTAAGCTCACTTGAGGGCCTCAGAAAAGTAACTATTCTTTCTTCTGAGATTAAAATGCTACTCTGAGTATCTTGGCATAAGAAGAAAAAGAAAGATTGGGCACTAGTAACATTTTAGTCCCAAATTTTAAAATAAACATTTTTTAAAAGACAACTCTTACTCAAGTACTTCGCTGTTAATCCTGGATGCAGTGGAGGCAGATCTGGCAGGTCAAAGCACCCAGACTTTGTATTAGCAGGGATGGTAATGTTATGTGCCATCCTTCTCAGGTTTTCCTGCCCCCTGTGCTTGGCCAGAACCCTTACAGTACCTGGGGGAGCAATAAAGTTTCCTGGCAACAATGTATTGTCATAAACTCTCCTTGTCCATCATCTGAAGTATTTTTTCCTGACTTGGTCTTAGATGGGTACTTAAAACGCATTGGTTTTCATAAAAGAGCTATTTCTGGCAGCAATGAAAACCAAGTGCTATAGTTGGTTTCTTGGTACACAGCTGCCAGACTTTTTTTTACTCTCCTTGGTGGCTTACCTATGAGGGCTACCATTGTGAGCTTATGTGTTTTGCAATCTGGCTTGACAGCACGGCTGTCTAGGTAAAACTAGCAATTTTACAAGCAATGTAACTTACTGATATGTAGTGAAGACCACTATGCAATGTGGTATCACAGGACATACTATTGTGCTCCTGGAACAGTAACCCTTTTTCTCCTTCCATCTCTTTAGAAATAGTTCCATTAGTGTACATGATCCATTTTCGGATGTAAGTGATTCCACATTCCCAAAGCGAAACTCCGTGACCCCAAATGCTGCCTATCAGCAGACAATGAATATGCCAGATATGATGGGAAGAATGCCCTATGAACCAAATAAGGACCCTTTTGGCGGGATGAGAAAAAGTATGTATTGAGTGTTCTTGTCTGGTTACATTGTTCCAGTGAATATGCCTGCATATGTATGCACATTTATAAGTTTGCTTTTTGTGATTCTTTTTGTCGTACTCCTTTAAGCTTTTTCCCATCTTTAAGAAGCAATAATATTTTAAGCCATTTGTTATTGATATTTTTATAATTAATAATTCATGTACCCTGCATACTTACTGCTTCCAAGCCTGTTGCGAGGTGAGAGGGTGAAGGGCCAGGTGGCATAAAATGGTGGCTGCGTTTACACTGCCCAGCGTTGTCCCTTTCCAGTTTTCTTTGCAAGCCGAGGCATGTGGGAACAACCAGGCAGTCAGGGCTGAAAGCCCTCCTTCAAAGGGATTGGCTAATTTCTGGCCAACCTTAGTGAAAATTCCACCACCACCTCAGGGCTGGCTATATTGTTCAGTCAGCTATTGAGTCCAAATGTATAAAATATTGTCCTGTTCATGTGCTTATGAAGAGTTCACTCCATAGTAATATGAAGCATTCCAGATTAATTTTCCAAATCCAGCACTATATGTGAATTCTAAATTCCTTGTTGGTGCTTTAAAACAAATCTGAATGATTCTACAGTAAGACCCAGTTAGTTACATCAGGCATCCTCAAACTATGGCCCTCCAGCGGTTTGGGCCTTCAATTCCCAGAATTCCTTACAACTGAACAAGCTCATTAGGGCTTCTGGGATTTAGAGGCCCAAACAGCTGGAGGGCCGCAGTTTGAGGATGCCTGAGTTACATAAAGAGTCGTCCCCCCTTTTTGGGGGGAAATAACAAAGTCTTTGTCTAGCATACTGGGTCGATCATTGAGATCCTGCAGGGAGACCCTTATCTCGACACAGGTCCCCTCTAACATGCATCTAAACAGGACCAGGAAATACTCTTTTTGCGGGATGACACCAGCACAACAGGGACCATGCCCTGTCCCTGTTGAGTTTCTGGAAGCGGGTAAAGACCTTTTTTAAGGCAGCTAACAACTAAAAATAGAACCATATATTTTAGAGCTGGGCGAAGATTTAAGGTCTAATATTGCTTTTATGTCGAAAGGGTTTATATTGGGGAGGTGGTAATTGATTATATCGAATATTTGATTTTAACTATGTTTTAAGTTCTTTATTGTATGTTTTATATGTTGTAAGCTGCCTTGGGTCAACTTGCAGGAAACGTTGGGGTAAAAATATCTTAAATAAATAATATTTCTGCACTTCATTAATAGTCTGAGCTTTAAAAATTGATATAGCCCTGGTTCTTCACAGTGTTGGGTCCCTCGACATAAATAAAAGAACACCCTATAAGATTTCTTGAAAATGCAGCTTTAAAGTCTATTATTAGATTTCTGCATCTGTTTATCTTTTCTTTTTGTAGTGCCTGGAAACAGTGAACCCTTCATGACCCCTGGACAGATGCCCAACAGTGGAATGCAAGACATATACAACCAAGCACCCTCAGGAGCAATGTCAAATATGGGCATCGGCCAGCGCCAGCAGTTTCCCTATGGCAGTGGTTATGACCGAAGGTGCGTTAGTCCACGTTCTTCAAAAGTCAGAAACCATAGCTGATTCAGCCATTATGAAAATGTGTTGAATAAACATACCAGGAAGGGGAGTACACTAACCCCTTCACTGTAGTCATGCATTTGTTTCATCTTCTATATAAAATCCATAATTTACTTAATGTAATAAAAGTTTTAGTTTTTTTCCCCCACAAAAATTAGCAAGTGAGGGACATGACTAAAAAAAATCTTTGGTGTTTGATCTCTTTTTCATTTTCTGCAATATTGCTTTGTGGAAGATGATGTGTCGATGAATATTTTTGCTCCTGATAAAATTGCAAGTTTCACATTTTTTTCACATTTCTTTATAAAGCAGTGTGGAAGTGTACAGGTGGATAGTAAACATACCCTTATCGCCAAGGTTGCCAGACGTACACACCTGTGCTTTAATCCAGGCCTGCATAACCTATTTTGGACTTCAGCTTCCACTGGACATACTGGCCAGGGCTTCGGAGAGTCGGAGTCCCAAACACCTGGAGGGCCACAGGTTGTGCAGGCCTGCTCTAATGAAATCATGCATGGTTGACTAGTTGAGTCAAAATACAGATTTGGATTCCCATTTAGATACACATTTGACTGTGTGTTTCAACCATATAATCCAGTGTCTCTCCAGATGTGGTACCATGCATCCACACGGCATTATTTTCTGTAGGATGCATATCCACATTCTTCATTCTAGCCCAGCAAGCATAACTACAATGTACTTGGCGTGAATTCTTATACTATAGTGTTAGTGGTCACATATGAGGTTTCCTTTGTCATTTTTAGGTCGGATCATGGGCTGGGTCCTGAAGGCAGTATGGGAGCACCTGGTCAAAGCAACATGGTGCCTTCAAACAATGACCCAAGCATATACCCTTCCAACCATTACTCTGGGCAGCAAAGGTGAACAACAATTTAATGTGTTTGAAATAACCTGTGTCAACCAGATACTTTTGAATCTTAAACACTACTGGATAGAAGTGGTGTTGCTCTGCAACCTTTTCTTCATTTCATTGGGACTTTTGCAAGTCCCTGTAATAAGCTCCTTTGAGAACCATGGTGATACAAAAGAGAGTGAACAGTGGATGGAATGTTTTTGAAATTCAGAAGATTGAGGTTTTGGTTTTGCTTATAAAAATGGGTTCATTTGGGGCTAAGAGAGAATTTAAGACCAAGACTACACAGGGCCCTTCTATCGTACACTTCAACAGAATAATACAATATAAACATTTTTGGCTCTGGTATCAATTGTAAAGCATTGATTTTAACTTTTTTTTCTTTGAATTTGGATATGACTCATTTAGACCCACAAGTTTTTCTTAAGATTGCGACTTTTTATATATGATTGAACAAATGACAAGGATTACTTGAAGTACAATTAAATGTTTTCCCTAGAATCCTACATACAGGAAATACTATTCTATACATTGCTTTGTAATCATAATGTCACCTTATTTATGAACAGATTTCTCATGCCCACAGAAGTCAACTTAAATCATGTCTGTTCCCTTATATCAGAAGCAAACCAGTGGATTTGTCGATTCATTCTCATTTTTAGAAGAATTTGTAATTTAATATCAGTAAGCCCATATAAGAGGTCATATACAAGTGCTATGGAATTATGGGAATTACCGCTTTTCGAGATCTTTAGCCTTCTCTGCCATATAGTGCTGATGCCTCAGCAAACTACAAATCCCAAAATTATTGAAATGGTGTCAAAGTACAGCTATTCTACAGTGTAGATGCACCCTCAGAGGAGAACATAGATAATATTAGCACTCTGTCAGGCGTCTTGTACATTTAAGATAGAAGGATTCAGAACTGTTTATTGATTTTAAAGATAACCACCAAGATTTCAGGTTGGGCTGACAACCAGTATACTTATGTAAGAACTGATGATATATGATTGACCCAGCCAGTTCCAAGTCTGGCAGCTGTATTTTGAATTGGATGTAGTTGCCGTATACTACACTGAGAGTTGTTTAATCTGGAGGCAATAATATTCATTCATTCATTCATTCATTTTTAAACAATTATCATCTCTTGACCTGCAAGGACCCATGTGATGGGAAACAAAACAAAAATCATTGTTCAAAATATTAAATAAAATTGATAAAACAGGTAAGGGTGCTGTTTGAAAACCATCTACAACCATTTTTAAAGCTCCATTATAATATGTGCTATATTGAAATTCTTCTGACAAACTTTGGGATGTTAGTAGTATTGTTGCTTCTATCATAATAAGCTAACTGACCATCATAGCTTATACAGCATCAAACAGCTTATTGCCCTGTTTGATGCTAATCCCAAATGTTTATTTGTTGAATAACTTGCATTCAAAATGGCATAGAATGCGGCTTTACTGTAAAAATTAGCTATGGTGCTTTGCGCAGTTATTAAAGTATACAGATCAAGTTTTAAGCAGCATCAAAAACTATTGAATTTGGAACATAATATATACTGAGCATATTCAAACTGCTAATTTATGTGGACCTCAAAATATGCATTTTGATATTTATATTTTGTTACACAAACAACATTGTTTTGTATTCTATTTTACATATTACATTTTTTTAAAAGGTTGCATACACATGTTTCCTAGGCAAAATATTTCTCCTTTCTACATAAAGAATATGAATTATGTATTTTAACAAAATTGCATGAAGAAAGCACAGAATTGCCTTCAGATGAATTTCACTTCACTTATAACAGGTCATCAAAAATTGTATTATTATTTGTGTCATGTTCTTCGGAGTCCAAAGAAGATAGAGATGACATATATTGTTCTCCTCCCCCATTTTATTTATTTATTTATTTATTCATTTACTTACAACATTTCTACCCTGCCTTTCTCACCCCGGAGGGGGCTCAAGAGGGCTTTACATACAGGCAACGATTCGACACCTTAGAACACAATAAATATTAAAATAGAATTTAAAAGTACATTAAAACCATTAAAACATTTTAAGACAATACATTCAGAGTTAAACACATAATCCATGAGCATAATCCGGGCCATTCCAAAGGTCATTGCACATTGTTCCAAATCTATCTATTGTACAAGTTCTCTGAAAGCTTGGTCACAAGGCTATGTTTTCACTCTCTTGCACAAAGCCAGGAGGGAGGGGGTTAATCTAATATCTCTGGGGAGGAAGTTATGTGTAGCATTTGTAGCATTAATAATCACATAGACCAAATGACTGGTCCTACATTGCCCAGCGAGCTTCATAACCAACTGCAGAGCTGAATCTATCTCCTCTCAATCCTAGTCCAGCACTGTAATCACTAATACTCTTCCTCCTAAATGTCAACATTGTGGCTCTTCGCTCATTTAGCCATTAACAAAGGCACTAAATATTTTAATTTCATGCTTCCATCCCTGATGACATGATCCTGAATTCCAGCATTCCATTCTGTGTGCATAGAAAGTAAGGATATGAACAACTCGTATATCCAGGTCACATTACATGAGGTAGTAGGGAAACCCAGCAACTGTTACCTAATTATTGTACTTGATTTTTCCTTCCCACAGAGTGGATCAAAATGGAATGTAATCTATTCTAATGAACACTGATTTCCTGTGATGTAATTATGCATGACTGAATTTCCACTAAAGTATAAGCCATGCAATCAAAATCACTTTACTTAGAACAAGGAACTATTTGTCATGGTAGAGCAAAAGATACATGAATTGAGACAAGTTCAGCGTTTCTAAAAAAAAGCTGTCAATTTCTGTTGACTTGGAAATCACCAGTAGCTGCCCCCCCCCTCCTATCTTTCTTTTTTTATATATACTATAGGCATGAACCATATGGACAGCAATATCCCGGGCAAGGACCTCCTTCAGGACAACCATCTTATGGAGGACACCAACCTGGAATGTTTCCACAACAGCAGGTAATTATTTCAGGTTATGGCATTTCCTTTGCAAAATCCATGCTAGAAATCCATGCATTTGGGCATTGGTAAACTGCAGACAAAACTCCATTGGCCAACAAAGATATTACAATGTATTTCATAGAATCATAGAATCATAGAATCAAAGAGTTGGAAGAGACCTCATGGGCCATCCAGTCCAACCCCCTGCCAAGAAGCAGGAACATTGCATTCAAATCACCCCTGACAGATGGCCATCCAGCCTCTGCTTAAAAGCTTCCAAAGAAGGAGCCTCCACCACACTCCGGGGCAGAGAGTTCCACTGCTGAACGGCTCTCACAGTCAGGAAGTTCTTCCTAATGTTCAGATGGAATCTCCTCTCTTGTAGTTTGAAGCCATTGTTCCGCGTCCTATTCTCCAAGGAAGCAGAAAACAAGCTTGCTCCCTCCTCCCTGTGGCTTCCTCTCACATATTTATACATGGCTATCATATCTCCTCTCAGCCTTCTCTTCTTCAGGCTAAACATGCCCAGCTCCCCAAGCCGCTCCTCATAGGGCTTGTTCTCCAGACCCTTGATCATTTTAGTCGCCCTCCTCTGGACACATTCCAGCTTGTCAATATCTCTCTTGAATTGTGGTGCCCAGAATTGGACACAATATTCCAGATGTGGTCTAACCAAAGCAGAATAGAGGGGTAGCATTACTTCCTTAGATCTAGACACTATGCTCCTATTGAATGCAGGCCAAAATCCCATTGGCTTTTTTTGCCGCCACATCACATTGTTGGCTCATGTTTAACTTGTTGTCCACGAGGACTCCAAGATCTTTTTCACACGTACTGCTCTCGAGCCAGGCGTCCCCCATTCTGTATCTTTGCATTTCATTTTTTCGGCCAAAGTGGAGTATCTTGCATTTGTCACTGTTGAACTTCATTTTGTTAGTTTTGGCCATCTCTCTAATCTGTTAAAATCGTTTTGAATTCTGCTCCTGTTTTCTGGAGTATTGGCTATCCCTCCCAATTTGGTGTCATCTGCAAAGTTGAGGATCATGTCTTCTAACCCTTCATCTAAGTCATTAATAAAGATGTTGAACACGACCGGGCCCAGGACGGAACCCTGCGGCACTCCACTTGTCACTTCTTTCCAAGATGAAGAGGAAGCATTAGTGAGCACTCTCTGTGTTCGTCCACTTAACCAATTACAGATCCACCTCACCGTAGTCTTGCCTAGCCCACATTGGACTAGTTTCCTTGCCAGAAGGTCATGGGGGACCTTGTCGAAGGCCTTACTGAAATCCAGGTACGCTACATCCACGGCATTCCCCGCATCTACCCACCTTGTAGCTCTATCGAAGAAAGAGATCAGATTAGTCTGGCATGACTTGTTTTTGATAAATCCATGTTGACTATTAGCGATGACTGCATTTGTTTCTAAGTGTTTGCAGACCACTTCCTTAACAATCTTTTCCAGAATCTTGCCTGGTATCGACGTGAGGCTGACCGGACGGTAATTGTTTGGGTCATCCTTTTTTTCCCTTCTTGAAGATTGGGACCACATTGGCTCTCCTCCATCTGCTGGAACTTCTCCCGTTCTCCAAGAACTCTCAAAGATGGTTGCCAATGGTTCCGAAATGACTTCCGCTAGTTCCTTCAATACTCTGGGGTGTAGTTGATCTGGCCCTGGGGACTTGAACTCATTAAGAGCGGCCAGGAATTTCTGGACGACTTCTTTCCCAATTTGGGGTTGGATGACCTCCAATCCCTCATCGACTCCATCTTGCTGAGGTTGAAGACTCTCTTTTTGTGAGAAGACCGAGGCAAAGAAGGCATTAAGTAGTTCTGCCTTTTCCCTATCCCCTGTCAGCATTGCCCCATCTTCTCCTCGAAGAGGTCCTATCGCCTCCTTGTTTTTCCTTTTTCTACTGACATAAGAATAGAAGCCCTTTTTATTGTTTTTAATGTCCCTGGCAAGCCTGAGCTCATTTTGTGCTTTAGCCTTGCTGACCTTTTCCCTACAGGTGTTTGAATTTCTCTTCCTAAAGGTAGATTTATTTATTATTTATTTATTTATTTACTTTGCTTATATACCGCTGTATCTCAAGCCCGAAGGCGACTCACAGCGGTTCACAAACAGTAAAAACAGTAGAAACAGCAGTGGTTCCATACAACATATAACAATTGACTTAACACATTATCCATAAATTACCAATAAGCAATTACAATGCACAATTATTACAAAAAACAACCGTACCCAATCTTCTCATCATCCAAGCGTAGTCCAGATTCGTCGTCCATTGTTCCATTCCTATGTTCCATTACCAGATTGTACTAAATTACTCAAACGCCTGCACAAACATCCCGGTCTTCACCTTTTTGCGGAATACCATTAGAGATGGTGCTAGTCTAATGTCCGTAGGAAGGGCGTTCCACAGCCGAGGAGCCACCACCGAGAAGGCCCTATCTCTCGTCCCCGCCAGCCGAGCTTGAGAAGCAGGCGGAATCGAGAGCAGGGTCTCCCCGGAAGATCTCAAAGTCCTGGTGGGTTCATAGGCAGAGATGCGGTCAGATAGGTAGCTTGGGCCGGAACCGTTTAGGGCTTTAAAGGCCAACGCCAGCACTTTGAATTCAGCCCGGTAGCAGATCGGTAGCCAGTGGAGTTGGCGCAACAGGGGGGTTTGTATGCTCCCTGCGCTCCGCTCCTGTTAAAATCATGGCTGCCGAGCGTTGGACTAGTTGGAGCTTCCGAGCTGTCTTCAAAGGCAACCCCACGTAGAGAGCGTTGCAGTAGTCTAAACGGGATGTAACCAGAGCGTGGACTACCGTGCCAAGTCAGACTTCCCAAGGTACGGGCGCAGCTGGCGCACAAGCTTTAGCTGTGCAAATGCTCCCCTGGTCACCGCCGAAACCTGGGGTTCCAGGCTCAGCGATGAGTCCAGGGTCACACCCAAGCTGCGAACCTGCATCTTCAGGGGGAGTGCGGCCCCATCCAACACAGGCTGTAACCCTATGCCCTGTTCGGCCTTGCGACTGACCAGGAGTACCTCTGTCTTGTCTGGATTCAATTTCAATTTGTTCGCCCTCATCCAGACCGTCACAGCGGCCAAGCACCGGTTCAGGACCTGGACAGCCTCCTTAGTAGCAGGTGGAAAGGAGTGACAGAGTTGGACATCATCCGCGTACAGATGACACCGTACCCCAAAACTCCGGATGATCTCCCCCAGCGGCTTCATGTAGATGTTAAACAACATGGGAGACAATATTGAGCCCTGAGGAACCCCACAAGACAATGGTTGTGGGGTTGAACAGGTGTCCCCCAACAACACCTTCTGAGATCGACCCTCCAGGAATGACCGGAGCCACTGCAAAACAGTACCTCCAAGACCCATCCCTGCGAGGCGTCCCAGAAGGATACCAGTGGTCGACGGTATCGAAGGCCGCTGAGAGGTCCAGCAGCACCAACAGGGACACACTCCCCCTGTCGAGCTCCCGGCGCAGATCATCCACTAAGGCGACCAAGGCTGTCTCGGTACCATGTCCCGGCCTAAAGCCAGACTGTGCCGGGTCTAGATTTCTCCCTTTTTCCACGTCTTTGTGTCTATGTATTTTTACTGGCACATATGGAAGGCTTCCTAGCTGCAAGAAGGTGATTTAGCATATTACATTGGACAGAACATTGTACATCTTATTTATGTTAAGTTGATATAGGACTACTTACTTAGCCGATTCCTCATAATCCGAGGATGATGGTCCTCCAAGTGTAGGATCCTGGCAGGGGGTCCGTAGGTGACTGTGGAGCCCTATTCTTGATCTGCATCTTCTCCCACAGTGAGGGCATCGGTTTCCAGGTGGAAGGCGGTCCCGGTCGGGGTTGGCTTGACGTGCCTTCCTCTTGGCACATTTATCTCTTTCACCCTCCATTCGCGCCTCTTCAAATTCTGCAGCATTGCAGCTCAAATTCTGCAGCTGACCTCCAACTGGAGCGCTCAAGGGCCAGGGCTTCCCAGTTCTCAGTGTCTAGAGTTTTTAATGTTGGCTTTGAGCCCATCTTTAAATCTCTTTTCCTGTCCTCCAACATTCTGTTTTCCGTTCTTGAGTTCGGAGTAGAGCAACTGCTTTGGGAGACGGTGGTCGGGCATCCGGACAACATGGCCAGTCCAGCGGAGTTGATGGCAGAGGACCATCGTTTAACGCCGGTGGTCTTTGCTTCTTCCAGCGCGCTGACATTTGTCTGCTTGTCTTCCCAAGAGATTTGCAGGATTTTTCAGAGACAGTGCTGATGGAATCATTCTAGAAGTTGCATGTGATGTCTGTATTGTCCACATCTCACAGGCATATAGCAGGGTTCGGAGGACAATAGCTTTATAAACAAGCACCTTGGTATCCTTACAGATGTCCCGGTCCTCAAACACTTTCTGCACTCGCAGAGCTCAGGTGGTGTTGAATTTCAGTGTCAATGTTGACTTTTGTGGAGAGGTGGCTGCCAAGGTAGCGGAAATGGTCAACATTTTCTAATGTTACACCATTAACCTGTATTTCTGGCATTGGAGAGGGATTGGCCAGTGACTGCTGGAAGAGGACTTTGGCTTTCTCGATGGCCGAGCTTCTCGTATGCTTCTGCAAAGGTGTTTAGAGTGGCTTGTAGGTCTTCTTCGGAATGCACACAGACGACGTTGTCATCAGCATACTGGAGTTCTATAACAGATGTTGTTGTAACCTTGGTTTTGGCTTTCAGTCTGCTGAGGTTAAATAGCTTGCCATCTGTCTGATAGATGATTCCCACTCCAGTGGGAAGCTTCCCATCAACAAGATGAAGTATCATAGCGATGAAGATGGAAAATAAGGTTGGGGCAATAATTCCACCTTAAATGGGTCACTTTGGAAGCCATTGCTGTCCAAGACTGTTGCCATCATGGAGGAGCCACAGGATGTTCACAAATTTGTTAGGGCACCCTAAGCGATTTTTTGGAGCCCAGAGAGCGCTGCGATTCACTGTGTCAAATGCCTTTGCAAGGTCAATGAATGCCATGTACAGTGGTTGATTCTGTTCCCTGCATTTTTCTTGGAGCTGACGTGCAGTGAAGATCATGTCCACTGGAGGGGCGGAAGCCGTTCTGGGATTCTGGGACGGTGTCTTCTGAGAGGGGTAGAAGGCGGTTTGCAAGGATTCTTGCAAAGATTTTCCCAGCGGAGGTTAGCAGGGAGATACCTCGATAGTTTCCGCAGTCTGTTCTTACCCCTATTTTGAAGAGGGTGATGATGGTAGCATCCTTGAAATCTGCTGGGATTTTCTCGGTCACCCACACTTTTTCTATGAGCTGGTGGAGTTGTTGTGTCAGCTCAGGTCCACCCTCTTTAAAGATTTCAGCAGGGATCCCATCAGGTCCGCTGGCTATGTTATTTTTTTGTTGGCTGATGGCATTGCTGACTTCTTCCAAACTAGGCAGTGCTGCAAGCTCATCCCTGGTTTGTTGTTGCAGGATTTGTGAGAGAATCTCTTCGACCACATTGGAGCTGCAATTCAGGAGGCTTTGGTAGTGTTCTTTCCAACGTAGTGCAATGGATTTTTTGTCCTTCAGAAGTTTGGTTCCATCTGATGAGCATAGAGGCTGTATGCCATGGTTTCTTGGTCCAATATGACCTTTGTGGCTTTGAAAAATCCCTGAGCATCATGGGTATCTGCCAGGTGTTGAATTTCTTCGGCCTTCTTTGTCCACCATATGTTCTTGAGGGCTCTTGTCCTTCTTTGGACCTCAGCTTTTGCACTGGTGTAGATTTTTTTCTTAGCAACACAGTTGACATGCCATGTTTGGAAGGCTTTCCTTTTCTTGTCAATTAGCTGTTGGATCTCATTGTCATTTTCATCAAACCAATCTTGATGTTTCTTGGTTTTATATCCAATAGCTTCTTCGCAGGCTGTGATGATGGAGCTCTTCAGTTTGTTCCAATGTTCCTCAACATTTTCGGGGTGTTCTATGGGTAGATGGTCCTTGAGTGCTGTTTGAAGATGGGCTCGTTTGGAGGGCTCCTGAAGGGCTTGGGTGTTCATTTTGCACCTTGTCTTTCTTCCTTGAAGTCTGTGCTTGGGGATGATCTTGATAGCCATCGTGGATCGGGTTAGCCTGTGGTCTGTCCAGCAGTCGTCAGCACCTGTCAAGGCTCTTGTGAGAAGCACGTCATGGTGGTCTCTGGCATGTGTGATTACATAGTCTAAGAGGTGCCAGTACTTTGACCGGGGGTGATTCCATGGTGTCTTGAACTTGTTTTTCTGGCGGAAGAGTGTGTTGGTTACGACAAGGTTGCGTTCCACACATTTGGTGAGAAGCAGGATGCTTCTGTGGCCACAGGTCGAAGTCTCGCCCAACTCTTGCATTCAAGTCCCCCAGGAGGATGATTTTGGGATGATTTTCAGGCACCTTTTCTAGCCCCTTCCCTGTGTGGGGTGAGCAGAGTGGATCCTCAAAAGGGCTGCTCAGTCATGGATACAGCTGCCGAACTACTCAACTGCCTCGGACCTTGAGGTAGAACGATTGAGTCCGTATCCACTGCCCATGTGCCAGTCTGTGACTAGGGGCTATAGGACTGTATCATAGCTAAAGGACCATAATCTCATTAAATGCAGTTTGTTTTCAGAGAGTGGACTTAGAGTTCATTAAATGCTACATCCAGCAGCTAAATCCAGAGGAGCTTTTGAGGTACCAGGGCTATATTCTTACCATTTGAAGTGACTACATTGCTTTCACGAAAGTGTGATTAAGGGTTCATTTTATTAGCAAGTAATATTTGCTTTCCACACTTTTCAGAACTAAAATTGATACCTTCTGTAAAAACTTCCTGGATGCTACAGACTGCTGACTTATGGTAGAAAACATACTGCCTTCCTGTTGATTTCATGACTCTCTCAACATTCCCAATTCAGCATAAACCAAAAGACAAATCACTGTTTAATAAGACAGTATACCCTATAACCGCAAAAGAGTGGAAACTCCTCTTTGTTAAATTGAAACCATGTTGTATTTCAACATATACTAGTCCTCTGTTATTGAAAAATAGAAATAAACTAACAGTAGTTACTTGCAATTTCTGCCCAGATCTTGCTTAGAGTGCCCTGACACAAAAATCATTGCTAGCAATTTACCACTGTAGTCCCCACACCCTGATTAATGCAACTTATTAGGCTTTGCAAGATTTCTTGGACCATGGCATGAGTAGATTTGTTGAGTCAATTGTTGACAAATGGGTCAAGGCATAGGTAAATTGCACTGATTCAGTGGGCCTACTTCATTGGGAAGTAATAAAAGGATATACACCTGTGTCTGCTCCGATTTAAAATCACACATTGGTAGTTTATTTTGGCAGTTCCTCAATTGAGTATTAAATTAATCTGAGGTGGTATTTTGATGCATCATTCATCTCATGCCAAGCTAATAGGTGGCAAAGCTCTATAACCATTAATACCCTTACGTGACAAGTCAAGTGTGTATGCCACAAATCATTGCAATCAAGAAAAAAATCTCAGAGTGGTGGTGTTTTAAAAATCTTATCAGTGGAACTTAAATTAAGTTTAAAGTCATAAATATTTTTGCATTAGTAAAAAAACTAAAACATGACCGAACTAAAAAAAGACATTACTTATTCAAACTCAGAAATGTTGAAATTTCCAATAATGTTCATGTATTTTTAACCTCATTCATGTTGCTGTTTATTTTCAGAACTACAAACGGCATATGGATGGCATGTACGGACCTCCAGCAAAACGCCCTGAAGGAGATATGTTTAACATGCCATATGGCAACCAACAGCAAGATATGTTTAACCAGTATAGCAATGCTTATTCTGGACCAGACAGGCGGCCCATACAGGGACAATATCCATATCCATATAACAGAGAGAGGATGCAGGGTCCAGGACAAATGCAACAACATGGAATACCTCCTCAAATGATTGGTGGCCCTATGCAGTCATCAGCCTCCAGTGAAGGACCCCAGCAAAACATGTGGCCAACAAGAAATGATATGTCTTACCCATATCAGAACAGGCAGGGCCCTGGAGGCCCTGCCCAGGCCCCACCCTATCTAGGAATGAACCGTAATGAAGATATGATGGTGCCCGACCAGAGGATAAACCACGAAAGCCAGTGGCCTTCTCATGTCAACCAGCGTCAGCCTTCTTACATGTCATCCTCCGCTTCCATGCAGCCTATCACCCGACCTCCTCAGTCATCTTACCAGACACCACCATCAATGCCAAATCACATCTCTCGAGCTCCAAGCCCTGCATCTTTCCCACGATCCCATGAAAATCGTATGTCACCAAGTAAATCCCCTTTCTTGCCCTCTATTAAGATGCCTAAGGTTATGCCCACTGCTCCAGTACCACAGACCACAGGCCCTCCAACCCACCCACCATCCATTAGGCGGGAAATAACATTTCCACCAGGCTCCGTAGAAGCATCACAACCAGTCTTGAAACCAAGACGAAAGATTACCTCAAAAGATATTGGTAAGAACCACACAAAACAGAGGCTCCATTTATAGATGCTTGATTTTGTAAATCAATTTAGTTAAACCATAGCTCTCTCCAAAGTTTTGTAAAAGGATTGGCCATATTTTTCCTCTCTGATAATGTAATACAAAATTGTACACTGCATATGTAGACTTCTAGCTCTTGAAATGTCGTTGCTAACAGAGCAGTATGTTTTGTGTGAGGTTTTATGGATGCTGCTCGCATTTTGTACCTCTTGAGGATTACACAAGAATTTTGGAATTTTATTTGATGAGTTTATAGTATAAAATGACTAGTTTCATGGGAAGCATTGCATTGTGGCTGCTAACAACAGAAGCTGTTGAGGTGGTAGTAATGTCAGTGCAGCCTTGTCCTTCTAGGGGTTTGCTTGTATATCAGCTGACAATATAATAGAACAGTTACCGTATGTCATCACATAAGAGTCACACTTTTTCCCTCCTCCCTGTTTTTTTTTAAAGGAAAAGGGGTGCAACTATTATGCAGAGACTATTATGCACTGAAAAAAGCCCCTTTTGAGGGCTTCTTTCACTGCAAAATAATTAATCTGAGGGTGCAGCCATGCAGGCAGATGATGGTTCATCCTCAAAGGGCACTGCCACATGAGTGGGTGGGTGATGGTTTGCCTGCATGACTGCCCCCTTGTCACAAGGGCAGTCACACCCTTAGTTCATTCACCTAGGCGAGGGAACTAAGGGTCCAACTATTATCTAGGAAAAGGCAAAAATCCTATTTTGCTTTTCCCAAAGGTACAACTCTTAGGCAGTGGCAAATTTTATACATTGAAATACAGTATTCAGAAGTAAGTGAAAATTTATCTGTTTAAGAACATACCAGAAAATATTGGTACTACTGATCCAACTTCTCATTGAGGACAGGTAAGTACAGTTATTGAATAGGTGTTTCCTTTTCCCCCACCTCAATTCTCTGAACAGTTCTAAGAACCATTTAGTTTCATGTCGTAAAAATATAACATGATGCAGTAGTTAAAGTAGAAAGAAAACTGTATGCAAATGTACAAAGCTTGTATACATCTTGGTTTATTAATGCAACATTTGAGCATCTAAACTAGACCACTGTGTATACTATGCTGTTCATATCATGAGCTGAAATAGAAGCACCATTGCAAATAGGACCTGCAAATTTCCTTTATGAAGTATTCATATTCATTTTCGATATTCTTATTTTCCAGTAACTCCTGAGGCCTGGCGAGTGATGATGTCTCTTAAATCAGGCCTTCTTGCTGAGAGTACCTGGGCATTAGACACTATTAATATCCTTCTGTATGATGACAGTACTGTTGCTACTTTCAATCTCTCTCAGGTAAGTTAGGTATTTTTCTGAAGTCTTCTAATGGCTCATATCCAAGTCAAGAGCTGAAAACCATACTCTTAATATTGTATCAGTAATTGTCACTGTTCCTTTTTTCATATAGTCACTTGGTTCTTAAGAAGTGAGAACTCTTTCCACACAACATTTCTGCACCCACATTGCCTCCACTGCAACCAACAAAAATGATTTTTGAAATGGGGTTGGGATGGGAAATACAATGTAGGAAATTGTAATAGTATGTTTTAACAAATTACACCAACTTACTCAAGTGGATATATCTTCCATTTCTTCAGCAGCTGTTTCCAATCCCAACCAGTATTTTTCATGAGTCAACATTTACTGTTTTTCATTGCGTAATAGTTGTAAGTTCATGCTTTTCTTTAAAAAGGCAGGTGCAACCATTATGCAAAGAGAAAAATGTTTAGCTGGTATCTATGGGAGTTTTTTTTTTAACTGTCTTATCCCTAAGACACAGGGAAGTGGTCCTAACTCCAGTTCTGGTTGTGGTTTTTTTAATGCAACAATTAAGCTAGGAAAGGCAAGAAACAATTTTTGGAAGAATATGACAATTATGTGGTAGTGACTATTATGCAATGAAATATAGTATATTGCATATAGCTTTCACTATCACAAAAGAGAAGCTCGATAATGCCTTGAATGGAATTACTTTCAGCATTAAACACATCAGACAATAATAAAAACCTTCAAGAGTTGTTCATTGTCATGAAAACCATCTTGGCCACTAATGTCTTCTTTCCTCTTATTTTGCCAGAAGACTAAAGTGAGTCAGAGAATTGGAATAGAGATGGTGAAAGAAAGAACATTAACTATTTGTGCATGATCCGACAGCTCGCTGTGTGTGGTCACCATACAAAAAGACTATATCTATTTCAGTAATAGGTCTCTTGCCTTTACACCCAAATAAATGATGTATTTTCAGTGTTCAGTGAATTTAGTTTTATACAAAATTTGAGACTCTGTCACTGCAGAAGACTTGCACTTTGATGCAGAAGACACATATGCCACAGGGCACAGGAGGCAATTTGAACACCCCTTTATGATCTACCAGTGTTGCTTCATTTCTATTTTTTTGAGTGAATATAGTCATTATTTAAGTTTTTTAACTCTTTTTTTATCTTCGTTCACATTTATTTTCAGCCACTAAGCCATGTAATTTCACAGAATGGGATATGAAACAATAATGCTTGAGTTTGGATGGAGATGGTCCAGCTAATAAATAACTACTTGCTTGTCATCTGTAGTAGATCATAATGACTTCCAAATTACCAGGAAGGGAAATTTTGTAAGACCGAACAGAAATATTTTACCACATTTTCCTTTCACACCTTTCAACTCTTACAAATAACAGTATATATAGGAATAAAAAGGACTACTACCCTTAGTAACTTTTGTGTAGCTATTTGCTGTGTAGCTATTTGCTGATTTAAATACTCTTTCAGTAACTATTCCTCAGATTAAGCTTAGAGGCTGGACTCCCTTTGTGTGTGGGGGGGGGGGGGGGGGGTTACAAAAATGAATCCTGGCCCCAACTCCCTAATTCCCTCTTATTTTAACACCAACTTAAAAGAATATAGCTCAGTCCCAGATGGGGGAAGGGGATGTTGCATGATGGAGGAAGTATCTCTTCTATAACTCTTCTAACTCACAAGAAGTAAATACACGTTATGTTTTCCTTTAATCCCCCCACTTTCAATTGAAAGGACTAAATGAGAAAATAACTATAGATTGCATATAACGCTGAGATGGAGAATTGAGGGAACTGGAGACTTAATGAATTCAATGTCACCCTGCCCACACAATGGCCTCTTTGATTGCCAGGATCAGTAGTGAATCACACCTTCAAAATCATCTGCTTCTGTAGTTTTGTGGACTTCCAGGGAGACCATGTTATCTCAATGGAGAATCTTGTGTGTATCACCAAAGGGGCAATCTGAATGTTCATATTACAGTTGTTTTATGTCTAGAATGAAAGGTAGTTGAGAAGAAAAACTGAAACCTTCTTAAAAGAATACCTATTACAACCAAAATAATGCTATATATTGACATATTTTCTTATTTTTCCCTCTTTTTGCTTCCTCAGTTATCTGGTTTTCTTGAGCTTTTAGTGGAATATTTTAGAAAATGTCTCATAGACATATTTGGGATCCTAATGGAATATGAAGTGGGACATCCGGGACCAAAACTACAAAATTCAGCTCAGAAACAGGATAGCCAATCTACCGCACAAGGTGCCAGAAAAGAGGATGAAAACAATGATGAATGTATTGATTATTTTGCTGAATTTGAGGATGAGGAGGAAGATGAAAATGAAAACACTGAAGCAGAAGAGAGGAGCACTGCTCTTGCTCCATCTGGTGCCACTGCTGATCCAAGTGAGAGGCCAAAACAAGCCAGTAAATTTGACAAGCTGCCAATAAAAATTGTAAAGAAAAATAATCTATTTGTTGTAGACCGATCCGACAAACTGGGACGTGTTCAGGAATTCAACAGTGGACTTCTCCATTGGCAGCTAGGTGGGGGTGATACAACTGAGCACATCCAGACCCACTTTGAGAGTAAGATGGAGATTCCTCCTCGCAAGAAGCCGCCTCCATTGAACTCTTCAAGTAAAAAAAGGAATATAGAGGTTAAAGGAGAATTGGAAGAACAGCAAGACAAAGGGATATCAGCCACCATAGATGATGTCTTGTCAGCTCGTCCAGGAGCATTATCTGAAGGTTCAGATTCTAGTTCTCATACAGATAGCAGTAAATTTCCATTTGGAATTCATCAAGCCAAAAGTCATCGAAACATCAAGCTGCTAGAAGATGAGCCTCTGAGTCGAGACGAAGCTCCTCTATGCACCATAACCCATTGGCAGGACTCTTTGGCCAAGCGTTGCATCTGTGTGTCAAATATTGTTCGCAGCTTATCTTTTGTGCCTGGCAATGATGCTGAAATGTCAAAACATCCAGGCTTAGTGCTCATCTTGGGAAAGTTGATCCTTCTCCATCATGAGCACCCAGAAAGAAAACGTGCACCACAGACGTATGAAAAAGAAGAAGAGGCGGACAAAGGGGTGGCCTGCAACAAGGATGAGTGGTGGTGGGACTGCCTTGAAGTCTTGAGGGATAATACATTGGTCACACTAGCCAACATTTCTGGGCAGCTAGACTTATCTGCTTACACAGAAAGCATCTGTTTGCCAATTTTGGATGGCTTACTGCACTGGATGGTGTGCCCTTCAGCAGAGGCACAGGATCCTTTTCCAACAGTGGGGCCCAATTCAGTCCTCTCGCCTCAGAGACTTGTACTGGAAACTCTGTGCAAACTCAGTATCCAAGACAATAATGTGGACCTTATCTTGGCTACTCCCCCATTCAGTCGTCAGGAGAAACTCTATGCTACTTTAGTTAGGTACGTTGGGGACCGCAAAAATCCAGTCTACCGAGAAATGTCCATGGCACTCTTATCGAACCTTGCACAAGGGGACACTTTAGCAGCAAGGGCAATAGCTGTGCAGAAGGGAAGCATTGGAAACTTGATAAGCTTCCTTGAAGATGGGGTCACTATGGCCCAGTATCAGCAGAGCCAGCATAATCTCATGCACATGCAGCCTCCACCTCTAGAGCCACCTAGTGTAGACATGATGTGCAGGGCAGCCAAGGCTTTGCTGGCCATGGCTCGGGTGGAGGAGAACCGTTCAGAGTTCCTTTTGCACGAGGGCCGTTTGCTGGATATCTCAATATCTGCTGTCCTGAACTCTCTGGTCGCATCTGTAATCTGTGATGTACTTTTTCAGATTGGGCAGTTATGACATAAGTGAGAAGCCAAGCATGTGTGAGTGGAGATTGAGGGTCACATATAACTGGCTGTTTTCTGTACCTGTTTATCCAGTGTAGGAAGAAGGAAAAAAAGAATATTTGCTCCTCTGCCCCATTCACTATTTATCAATTGGAAATTTATACAAAAAATATTAATTTGAACATTTATGGAATTAATATTTGCTGTCTATGTGTATAAGTACATCTTTTTATTTTATTTTTTTAACCAAAGTCTCTGTCTAGTACATTGAAAGGTCACATTTCCTTTTTCAGTGTCTTCTCCTCTCATATTTGTATCACATACTTTGGGAGGGGAAGCAAACCAGATATTTGGGGTTACTGCAGAATATTATTTGATTGTGGGGGTGGAGGGAGAGACTCAGAGCTCTGAAACGCAAAAGTGAAAAAAAATACTAAGTACTGTGTGTTTTATTTTTCAAGAATGAAAGAAAACCCAGCCACCCTTTATGCCGTTACCCAAAGCACTCTGTGCAATAGAAGAATATTAGTGATGTAGGTGTAGCGGATCAAAGGAGGGGGTCGGTCCATAGACTGCATATGAAATTACCCTGGTTTCTCCACAGGAGAATGGTTACATTAGGCTAGGAGCAAAAAAATTCTTTAGGGAAGTTAAAACGAAAACCTGAAGATGATCAATGCGAATTGCTTCCTCACCAGAACTGTCACATCAGTATCTATTGTTTGACCTTCCACAATGACAGTTCTTCACAATTCCTTTTAATCATTTTTTAATATTTTTTATTGCCTGAAGGCAGTGATGTATATAGAAGTTGTACATTGAACATGCCCTCATCTTTTTTAAAAAATAAATACAAGGATTTCCTTTTTTCATGATGTGGTAAATACAAAGTGATTGTAGACTTAATTTTATTATATTATATTATTATTATTATTATTATTATTATTATTATTATTATTATTTTGGGCCATGTCTCCAAAACCTAACAAAAACCCACCACCACGAGGGTAATGTACAAGTTTCTGTATGTATAAAGTCATGCTCTATTTCGGAAGAGCAATTGCTCACAACTTGCTTTATAAATCAAGATGTGGAAAATGGTTACGTATGGATTGATTTTAAAAAATGGTTACCAGTCTACAGGACAAAATACATATACAGGAAAAAAGGAAGAAACACAACTTCAAAGATTTTTCAGTGAGAAGAATCTGCATTTGTATTTCAAAATAATGTAGTTTAAAAAAGACAAAAAAACTTAATGTAAATTCCTCCTTTTCCTCTGGCTTAATGAATATCATTTATTCAGTATAAAATCTTTATATGTTCCACATGTTAAGAATAAATGTACATTAAATCTTGTTAAGCACTGTGATGGGAGTTCTTGGATAATGTTCTCACTTTGCCATGACATCAAGCCAGTTCAGTTACTGAAGGTGATGCTCTTTCTTTTTGCTGACCATTGATTATGGATTATTTTCATCTGATGTTCAAACAGTGCAACAAAGTAAGAAAAATAATCACTATAATCGCTAAATAATCGTCTTTACTTTCAAAATAGCAGTCCAAAGAAGATGTCAAGGACTGGCAATGTATCATTTCCACTATATATCTACAAAAGTTAATCCAGTCAACTAAGAATGTGTTTGAATCAAATAACCTTTGTTTTTCTCCTTTTAAAAGCTGCCAATAATAGCTGGAAGGATTTAGCTTGTAATTTTTATCAGTACATCTCGCATTGAATTTGCACCCATTACAGCAACTCAAATAGTTTGCTCACAGGAATCCTGATGCTGAGACAGAGCTCATATGTCCACAACAGCTACCACAGATTCAAGTGTGTATTTCTTTACATGACCCTCCTGAAAAATGAATGGGACATCCTGAACACAAAATGGCTCTATATGCACATCAGGCTACTTCCAAGGCACAATGTTCTTATATCTACACAATTTGCTACTATACTGGTGCCTTTGTTGATCTTAATGAGATTTAGGGACAATTTGTTTCCTGTCATAGAATTTGAGGAGCCACATTTCAATTCATGATTCTAATGCTGAATGAACCAAAGATGTTGAGCTAGTGCTTCTTTGGGAGGAATATTCCTTTGGGAATTACTTGTAGTTTACTCCATTTTTCATCCCTTGCCAGAAGAGAGTAAAAAGAAGTTGTAGTGAAAGTTGTGTGTCTCCCGCTGCTGTGAGACAACATGAATTGGGCCTTAGAAATTTCCTGAACAGAACAAAACCTACAGAGTCCCATCTCGAGAGCTTCTGATTTTTAAGAGTCAAATTAGTATCCCTTTTCATTTTATGAACCTATTTTTCAGTGCTGTTGAAGCATAATTTTTTGCTATTTGGCAGAAGATGGAGATGGGTAGGAACTACTGCAAATTTCTACTTTTCCTTTTCTCTTTTTGGTAGTAACTGAGGGGCTCTTTGAAAATATGTTATCTCAGGAGGCATTTTGATAATCTTGATCATATAGCTTGCTCTAACACATTAACACAGAAGATAATTTCCTGGACAGACAAAATACATACTATTATCCAAATCTGACACGTGACTCCCCTGTGCCACAGAAAGAAATTCTTCTTTCTTCTGTTGTAATCTATTCACTCTTATATCACCCATGGTAACAGTCTCTTCTTACTCTTTGTCTCTTGCATAATAATGCTTTCAAAAATATATGTTAAATTATAGCCTACTGGTAACTGCATGTCATGAAAAGAAGCAGATTTAAAAAGTTACAAAAACTTTTAAGGATAAAGGTATATTAAAGTCTCTTCTAACCTAGCTGTTACACAATCTTTAACCTGCTCCCCTATATTGGTCTTTACAGCTTCCTCGTACATCTTTGGTGTACTGATATAATTAACTGACTGCTTAAAAAAGAAGGAAAGACAATCTGGAGGCTGACATGTTCCCTACCTCATGCTCTGATTGCCCAAAAAGCGGTTCTTAAGCATTGTAACTGACAACCACATCCAGCCATTAAAATGTACAGATCTGCTTTTAGGATACTTCATTAAAATGGCTAAAAGTCTGAATAGGTAGGACAAGCTCAGCATTCCTTTTCCGGAAGTGTTTGGTTTTGGGGTTGTTTTACATTATAGAATATTTCATAATAATAATAATACTCAAGGCAGTTTACAACAGGTACAGACAGAGCACATGTTTCAAAATACTTTGCTCAATTATACTCATCAATTATACTGGCAGTTCACTATTTTAACAATTTCATGAAAATGTTACTTGCTGTTTCAAAGAAGATGAGGAATTTATTATAAAGGACCAAGTACTGTATAGGGAATGCCAGATCAATTGTAAAATCTAAGGAACATTTCTCTTACAGGTAGTTTGGAAATTCTTTTAAAACAAAAGACATCCTCCACAAACATGGAACCTGCAAAAGGACAGGGACAACACATATTTTTCAACTGTATATTAATTAGTGCTCTATTACTTTTGAGCTTGATCTGGTTTCTTATCTTTAAACAGAAAAAGCTTTTTTTTCTTTTTTCCCCTCTTTTTTGTTGCACATCATGCGATGGCAGCAGGAAACATGAAAGGGATTCTTACTTACTGCTAGTATGCATTATCCATATTCTTTTAGGGGCATTTTGCTTTCATGTGTTTAGAACATCTATATATGTGTCCTTTAAATTCAACAAGAGACAGGTGAAGAAGACAAAAAAAAATGTTAACACCAACACACTAAATTTTGAGTTTTATTCAGATCTATTCCCAGGGCCATTTTTGTCACATTGATAGAGTATAGCCTCACAAGCATGTATCTCTTTCCATATTCTGACCCCTTCTATTATTTGAAAAAAAACAACGGGAGATTGTGTGACAATACTTCAGCTACAGCAAGGGAAAGAAAACGCAGGCAAGGAAAGAAATGGGAGACAGACTAACCAGAGTTTTCCTTTTTGAATTGCAGTTGCCACAAGTTGAAGTCAACAAATCATAATAGATGATTGTAAAACTTGCCTGAATTTCACCTCCACTCAGGAAGTATAACAGGAAAAGATCATAACAGTTACCAGCCTCTAATTCTACTTAAAAAATCTTCATACACATGGTCTGTCTGGAGAAATAAAACTGACCATTGTAGTGAGCTACCCAAACAAGGGTTCCATGAATGAGAATTGCAGAATGGTAGTATATTATGACCACCACCACCAGCTCCCCTCCCCATATTGGATTGGGATACATTCGAAGACCTCATGCGAATACCTGAAACTGGATAATAGTGAACTCTATTTTTCACTATTCTGAATTGTACTGGAGGACTTAGGCTAACAAAGAATTCCAGAAGGGAATATTATTTGGAGCGTATGTGAAACCATGGGTATTGAGCCTGTGGGTAAGGTGGTTATTCTCTACTATGAATGTACTTTTCCTGTTGCTTTAGTATAGGCAGTTTTCCTCAAGATCATGTATTCAAGCTTTTAAAATTATTACACTACATGGTTCTGCATCTTTAATTTCCTTTAAAGTTACTTTTACTTGTTAAAGAACATTTGGGAAAACTCCAGCATATTTTGGGGAGGCGAGTCATGCTTGCTACACTGTAATAAACACAATGGATCAGCTTCCTGAAATACAGTACTTGGTAATCCTCATAATAGTTTTTGACATGATTAGGCAATGGTCTATCAAAGCATAATAATAACCTTTGGCCTATCACAGCTAAACTCCAATTGTCTTTTCTATGTAAATCCAGTTCACACTTTGCTCCCTGACTGCCTCTGTCAGTACAACTCCCAAACTTCTTTTCATAGCATCTCTTACTTCCATAATCTTACTTTTTAGATGGATGATTGGAGGCATTTGTTGGGTTCCTAAAAAAGTCCGGATTTTACTTCTTGAATTCCCTTACAAAAAAAGTTAAGAAATATTTAATTAAATAAATATGGAGTTAAATGCCTTAAAAGTAGATTCTCACATCTTGTGTAAAAACTCCCTTAGTCCTAGCTGACAGCTTTTAAAAACAAATGTTAGCTCCAATGCCCATTTGCTCTGTTCCCACTTAACAAGCATGGGATGTTCTTTTAATATTGGCAGCAAAAAGGATTTGCAATATTTATGCAT